AAACAATGCTAGATTGCTATGATATATCCATCCTCTTCTTATACAGGAATGAATACTGGATAATTTAATAAGAGAAAACTGGAGGCAATAGAAAATTGGTTCTACAGAAGGATACTGAGAATTCTATGTTGTAAGTAAGCAACAGAGAAATCTTAAAGGAAATGGCAACAAAAAGAATACTCAGAATCAAGCAGAGACAACTAAAATTCCTTAGACACATAATAAGAAAAGAGGGTTAGGAAAACTTATGGGACATGTTGAGGGGAAAAGCCATGGGAGGGACAGTGAGTCACCTACTTGACAAGCTTGCGTCCTTGTAGAATGGGGGTGAGCCTTAACAAAGGGAAAAAACTAAGGGCCTCAAAGAATAGGAAGTTGTGGAGATCTATGATTACCTATGTCCTGAAGGGACATTGTATATAAAAGAAGAAACTGTATTCATAAAATATTGGCTTGAAATGAAGTATAATACAACTGAAACTCAATACTGAAAATGGAAGAATCTTACCTTTAATGGAATTAAACCATCAGGTGTTATTAATTCCACACTGTATTTATCAACATTATCTTTATCAACCAAGCCTATTATGCCTCCATTTTGCAAAGTGTCACCAATGTTTAAGGTCACTATTCGATCATTATTTCCAGTTGTATCCCATGTATTGCCAGGTCTAATATCTCCAGGGTTGCCAACAGCAGGATTAAGGCTGATTGCACTGTTTGGAATAATTGTCTCATCCTGCATACCATCTGTTAAGGCACATGCACCTAAAACAAACAATTTTAGTGCATTATAAAATGATTTGAACCTAGAAATATTTTCATTAATACAACATGCCAATAATCAGAATTAAGATCATAGAAAATTCAGATCCAATGACAGTTAGAAAAAGACATAAGACTTAAGAAACATTATGAAAAAATATTCTAGTAAAAAATGTTTCCAAAATTAGTCCCAATTTTTAAGTAGGCAAATAGAGAAAAAAAATGAAAAGTGAAGAATTGTATTTGTTCAAATGAATATCGAAGAATTGAAATAACTTTCAAGATTTTAGACAATGACATAAACATGACATGGGACAGTTGAAAAAGATATTAGGATAAAATTTATAGTTAGAAAAATTGATTCAATTTAGAGAAATTCATGTTTCAACTTAAACTGACCAATCAAAGGAAAAGAAATAAGACAAAAATCAAAATTAAGGAAAGAATTTAGCTGCTAATTAAATAATAATTACTAAGTAACAGTGTGTAAAAGAATGTTTTTATGGTATTGGTAACCTAATACAAGGCCAAAGAGCCACTCAAAGTAGAGTATTACTGAATGAGGTTATTGTAAAGGTGAAAAGGGAGGAAGTAAGGAGTGCATATTATGAAAATATATTGGATAGATAATGGTTGACTCTAGACTTGAAGATGTTAAGATTGGAGAATCACCCTTGCGGGTGTCTGTTTTACAAAGTAATAGTTCTTAGGAAGAATCTGTCCAAGTGGAACTTCTTCCTTACCAATACAAAGGAAATGAGGATAAGTTGGCCCTGTGTATGTGGCACGGCTGGTCTTAGCTGTGGTGGTCTGAACTGGTGGAATAAAAGGAAGTGGTTTGTTGGAATATTTGCCATGAAAATGGCAATAGAGTCATGAAAAACTAGCAAAGCAATGTTTCACCTGTTGATTGATTGATTACAGAAATTGGCATTTCAATGTAATATGGCTGTAAGCATTGATTGATTTCTGAGAAAGAGGTTGCAGAGTGGAAAAAAAATTATCACCCAAAAAATGATGTCTCAGTCTTAATGCTTTTGAGCTTTTATCAAGGCTGGAAAGTGATGACTGTTTGTTCCAGATCAGATATGACAGCAATACTCCATAATATTTGGCCCAATCTTTTCAGGATGAGTCAGATATTTTTTGGAGCAGTACAATGGATAGGGCATTTTTCAAACTTCTTTGGTGATGGATTATATAGATGAGTTCCACTTGCGGTCTTCAGTGAGTCTCAGTTGATGTTCAACTCAAAGAGTCTCACTGAGATTACAACAGTTCCTCAGGACTGGAGGAAGTTTAGGGTCTGCTTAGTTGTGATGAAATATGAATAGCTTAGTTTTGGAAGTGTTGAATAAAACAAGCCAGTCTTTCCTTCATTATTGAGCTTGGACATTAATGGTAACCTTCATTTGCTTACCTGTTAGGAAGGACTTGATAATTGAGAAGAAACTTCCTAATATTCCTTAGCTAAAGATAATCAAACATCTATGCTACAACTTGTCAAAGGTCTTTGAGATATTTAAAGTGATTGTTCGCATGATGAGTTTATTATCAAGTGCTTCACTGATTCTCTGTGTAATAATAGTTAATACATTAGCAGTAGACCTTTTTCTATATGTTGTGTCCCTTCAGGATGTTAGCAATTGTGGTTCTTTACAATTTCCTTTACTTGTAGATGTCTTTTTGCTATATCATCTAATTCCTGTTCTGCCAATCATTTATAGAAGTTTATTAAGTAGATTATATGCTATTTCCCTCTGTCCCTCTTGCCTTCAATATATATTGTGAGTGTCAAATTTTCCAAGCCCTCTTTCCCCATTATGCACCTTAAAATTTCAGCTGTCACTTTCTGAGGTAAAGTATAAGTGAACTTTCTATTTCCATTTTCTTTAAAACTTTGTCATTGCTCACATATTCTGTTCATAGTATTCTCAGCATCTTGTTCATCTGTAATTAGATTGTCAAGCATTCACTGCCATATAGGAAGATCAATATTTCAAAACAGTTAAGTACTCTTTTCATTGTTTCTAATGAAATTTTCCTGTTTCTTAATACTTTGTTTAGATTTTTGAAGGCGTCTTTTGCTATCCCAATGCATTTTCAGAATCTCTGCTAAAACACTTCCCAAATATTTAAATTACTATACTTGCTTGGTTTTGATATCTCCAACTTATACTTTGCATTTTGAACTGTTCTTACAATTGATGCTCAGATATTTCTTCTTACTTTCCTTCATTACTTTCTGTAGGAGTTCTTGTAGTTTCCTTTCTGTGTCTGATATCAACACTGTGTCATCTGCATATCTTATGTCATTAAGATTGTGACCGCTAATAATAAATCTTGGTACAACTTTTCAGAAATCACTTTTCAGAATCACTTCACTGTATAGGTTGAATAAATCCATATGAGAAGAAACATCCTTGTCTTACAAACCTTTCTATTTTTGTATATTTACTGAAATTCATTTTCTATCCATATGCAGGGAATTAGCTTCCAGTATAGATTATTCTAATAGCCTTCCCAAATATGTCGAGGTTATCTGGCAGTACCATCAGTTCTTTGTGACATACATTATCAAACATTTTTGCCTAATCTATAAAAAATAGATATACATCTTTTTGCCTTTCTATTGATATTACTGATATCATTCTGAGAATAAATATTGCATACCTACTTCTAGTGTATTTCATGAAATCACATTCTTCTTGTCCTATTACTGGTCTAAATCTATTGCATGCTTTGTTCATCAGAACTCAGATGATAAGTTTTTGTTTTATGGTTTATTGGGCTGATTGTGTGATGGAGACACATTCATTAGCACCTGGATGCAGTGCTATGAAAATGGATCTACTTAAGTCTTCTGGCATATTACCACTGTTTTAGTTTTAATTTATTATGCCTGTAATCTTGTCAATGCTGAAATTATCTAAGACTGCCAGCATCTTTATTACAACTCTGTCTGGTCCTGCTGCTTTGTTTCTGTTCAAATTGGTCAGAGCTGATTTCACTTCTGATTTTCATACTTATGGTCCTTGGATATTTCTGTGTATTGTGAGTTGACCTCTTTTGTCTTGGAAAAATTGTCTGATCTATTCATTCTATTTCTGAAGTATTTTTTTTTCTAATATCAGTCATCTGTCCTTAGATTTTAGGAATCCTGTTTACGAGCATGCTGTTTGTTCTGTTATAAATTTTATTCCTTTATGCCAATCTGCTTTATCTATAATACTCATTCTTTCTATTTTGGCACACTTTTCATGGAGCTATTCTGCTTGCATATGAAATCCATATTCTTTATTGCTCAAGAAGTTGTTACTGTTAAGGTGATCAAAACTTTCTTGTTGATAGGCAAAAATGCTGATGACACTAAGGAGGCTGATTAGTTGATATTGTAAATAGGATGAGCATTCACCCAGAAATACAGGGCAGACAGATAATATCTTCCATGAACTTTGGAAATAGTTCTTATTCAGGCAGTAGTTAAACAAGTTTTTAAGACTGGCAGTCACTCTTGGCTAAGGTTCTTAACAAGAACAAACAGAATTTTATCTGGACCAGTAAAATTCATATAGTCAAGATTTTAATTTTTACAGATTTGGAATCTTCTAAATCCTAGACAGAAATATCACAAGGTTTGTACTCTGTGAGATAGGTAAGCCAGGTAGGAGAAGACCCTTGTCCTCCAAAATACTGTAATCTTCTACCTTTCCAGTGACAATTATTGAAATTGTTAATGCTAATCCTCCTAAGGATTGAAGCCGTCACCATTAGCTAAAAAATATTATTGAATGACACTTTCTAGTCAGCTATATTATATTGGTAGATTTTCCAATGCATGAGACATGGAAGGACAACTTAGGTGTGGCATAAATTTTGACATAGAAAAGCGTATGGCCTGAAGTGCACATTTCAGTCAAAATTGGTTTAGGACAGGAGGTGATGCCCAGCTATATAATAAACATAAACAGGCTTATACATAATTTTGGTCAGTTTGTAAGTAATGGAGAAGCCATGGTAGTATATAGATTCTTCAGAAATTGTGTGAGAGTGGAATATTGAAATTGCGATGAATGGGAGCAGGAGGAGAATCTGAGAGAATACTATCCAACTTCTCAGTTAATTATTAGTAAAGATTGCTATGTCAACTACAGAAATGTGGAAAAAAATAAAGTGAGTGTAAAATAGAGAACAAGTGTGATATACAGATTTCTTGGAATAAGAATATTTACTTCTTAATAGACAGATATTAATGGTATACCTGGTGTAGTAACAGGGAGAGATGTCAATGTGACAGAGACAGGTGTTGTTACTGCTGCTGTTGTCACTGGAACAGGTGTTGTTACTGCTGCTTTTGTCAGTGGCACAGGTGTTGTTACTGCTGCTTTTGTTAGTGGCACAGGTGTTGTTACTGCTGCTTTTGTCAGTGGCACAGGTGTTGTTACTGCTGCTTTTGTCACTGCAAGAGTTGTTGTTATTGTGGCTTTCGTCACAGGAGCAGGTGTTGTTACTGCCGCTGTTGTCACTGGAACAGGTGTTGTTACTGCTGCTGTTGTCAGTGGAACAGTTGTTGTTACTGCTGCTGTTGTCACTGGAACAGGTGTTGTTACTGCCGCTGTTGTCACTGGAACAGGTGTTGTTACTGCTGCTGTTGTCACTGGAATAGGTGTTGTTACTGCTGCTGTTGTCACTGGAACAGGTGTTGTTACTGCTGCTGTTGTCATTGGAACAGGTGTTGTTACAGCTGCTTTTGTCAGTGGAACACGTGTTGTTACTGCTGCTGTTGTCACTGGAACAGGTGTTGTTACTGCTGCTGTTGTCACTGGAACAGGTGTTGTTACTGCTGCTGTTGTCATTGGAACAGGTGTTGTTACTGCTGCTGTTGTCACTGGAACAGGTGTTGTTACTGCTGCTGTTGTCACTGCAACAGGTGTTGTTACTGCGGCTTTTGTTACAGGAACAGGTGTTGTTACTGCTGCTGTTGAGACTACAGCTGTTGTAGGAGGAATAGCTGCAAAAATCAATGAATTCATGAATACATTTTCATTATGGAGAATGTTGTAACTCATGAAATCATGAGGACATATAATCACACTTTGAAGACCATTGAAGTTTACTGATTACATAATTTTAGGCATTTTACAGTTCCAATGAATAGGTCATCAATATGAATTGTACTCACTTGTTTTTCTTAGCGCAGACTTTAGTAGCAATGCTTACTACCATTGGATCATTTGGATTTTTGGGAGTCAATGTGATTTTAATTCCAGTTTGCGTATCTTCTGCAGAATTGCTACATTCTTATTAGCTGGAGAAATCTGAATATGAAATGAATGCATGATTGAGAAAAAGACAGGAAAAGGTCGAATGCTTATTTAATGATTTTTTTTCGAAACTCTCTTTTGGTAATGTAAATACTTGAGGAGAAAATGCGGTGACAATGTGAAATTTGAATAATGGTGTGTTGATAAGATTTGAAATCTGAAAAGAATGAGAGAATATTTACCTTAACAAAAAGAAGTCCACTTGGTGTAATTGTCTCAACTGTGTATTTTTCCACATTATCATTATCCAGTAGTTGAATTGTAGCTCCATTCTTCAGTGTATCTCCAACATCAATTTTAACAGTTCTATTAGATGGTCCATTAGTAACCCATGTGTTACCAGGTCGAATGTCACTGGGAATTCCGTATGGATACAACTGAATGGCTTTATCAGGAATGATTGTTTCATCATCCATTCCGTTGACATAGAGACACGTCACTATCATAAGATAAATGAAATGAAAGAATTAGCATGTAACCGTTATGAAATTGGAGAGAAAGCACTGATGATCAGAGAAAATGTTTAAATTCATTTTGAGTACGAAAAACCAATCCGACCGTTTCTTTTGTTCAGGTTTTCATTAATTTTGTATTATTTATTGGCCATAAGAATTTTAATGGACTTTCTAGTTTCTATACCTTTGCAATAACATTGCCAATGAAATGAAAGAGACTTCATCAGTAATTTCTCAAATACGTCATTGCCGCTAAGGAGAAATAAATAAATTAGAATAATAGAAAATTCGACCAAATTTCACCACCTCTAAAATCAGATGGATAATTAAAATTGCTAATCCAAAGAGGAAAACTCCACCATTAAATTCTGAAATGCTGCATGTTGCATTTGAGAACATTATAATGAAAGTAAAATGTCCAGTATCAATGGAAGTGTACAATTTGATGGTTGTTGGTAGTGATAATAAGCAACGTCATGCTAAGATATATTGATGTATTGAATGAATGAATCAAATGTGATTCTGCACATTTAAGGAAACATTTGATCTGTGATCATGAAGATTATTTGAAAAAATGCATTTCGAAAATTGCAATATTTTGCACATCAGTATGAAAATTGCATAAATATTGCAGAATTCATTTTGAATTCTTTTTTCCAGTAAATATATACATTCGGCATTGAATTCCGTCTGTCCTGATGTATTTATTTTGTAATACAAGACTAAATTATGCTGCTCATTTTTGTTTCCTCAAAATTCTCTATTTATGCAAGACTATTTGTTAAACTCTCTTGCATAGTGAATAGGACAACCACTCCCCTGTTCAGATATGATGTTTGATTCCGAACTCTTGAATTTCATATTTGATATGTTTTTCTTCTCCTCCTACATTATGGCAATTTAAGATGGCAGTTGTATTGCCTCTAATGAGTGGCATAACAATGTGGTACTATCGGCTTTTCTTTATGTTTTATATTTCTCAATATGGAAAAAGATTTAGTTCACAACTGCCCACTTGCCAAAGTGTGTAGACTCTACCTGAAATGATTTCTAATGCTGTATCAACTAAAGAAATGTGGAAAAAAATAAAGTGAGTGTAAAATAGAGAACAAGTGTGACATACAGATTTCTTGGAATGAGAATATTTACTTCTTAATAGCAGATATTAATGGCATACCTGGTGTAGTAACAGGGAGAGATGTCAATGTGACAGAGACAGGTGTTGTTACTGCTGCTGTTGTCACTGGAACAGGTGTTGTTACTGCTGCTGTTGTCACTGCAACAGGTGTTGTTACTGCGGCTTTTGTTACAGGAACAGGTGTTGTTACTGCTGCTGTTGAGACTACAGCTGTTGTAGGAGGAATAGCTGCAAAAATCAATGAATTCATGAATACATTTTCATTATGGAGAATGTTGTAACTCATGAAATCATGAGGACATATAATCACACTTTGAAGACCATTGAAGTTTACTGATTACATAATTTTAGGCATTTTACAGTTCCAATGAATAGGTCATCAATATGAATTGTACTCACTTGTTTTCTTAGCGCAGACTTTAGTAGCAATGCTTACTACCATTGGATCATTTGGATTTTTGGGAGTCAATGTGATTTTAATTCCAGTTTGCGTATCTTCTGCAGGAATTGCTACATTCTTATTAGCTGGAGAAATCTGAATATGAAATGAATGCATGATTGAGAAAAAGACAGGAAAAGGTCGAATGCTTATTTAATGATTTTTCGAAACTCTCTTTTGGTAATGTAAATACTTGAGGAGAAAAATGCGGTGACAATGTGAAATTTGAATAATGGTGTGTTGATAAGATTTGAAATCTGAAAAGAATGAGAGAATATTTACCTTAACAAAAGAAGTCCACTTGGTGTAATTGTCTCAACTGTGTATTTTTCCACATTATCATTATCCAGTAGTTGAATTGTAGCTCCATTCTTCAGTGTATCTCCAACATCAATTTTAACAGTTCTATTAGCTGGTCCATTAGTAACCCATGTGTTACCAGGTCGAATGTCACTGGGAATTCCGCATGGATACAACTGAATGGCTTTATCAGGAATGATTGTTTCATCATCCATTCCGTTGACATAGAGACACGTCACTATCATAAGATAAATGAAATGAAAGAATTAGCATGTAATCGTTATGAAATTTGGAGAGAAAGCACTGATGATCAGAGAAAATGTTTAAAATTATTCTGGGAGGGAAAAACCAATATTTGCAAACCTGCACATATTTATTTTTTTCATTGAAACGATATCAGTAAATTGCGATTATTATAATGCCTTTACTAATTTTAATGGATTTTCTAGTGTTTCTCTGTGTAATCTGATTGCTAGTCCAAAGTGGAAAAGTCCACCATTAAATTGTGAAAGGCTGCATGTTGCATTTGAGAACATTATGATGAAAGTAAAATGTCCAGTATCAATGGAAGTGTACAATTTGAAGGTTGTTGGTGGTGATAATAAACAGCGTCATGCTCAGATATATTGATGTCGTGAATGAATGAATCAAATGTGATTCTGCACATTTAAGGAAACATTTGATCTGTGCTCATGAAGATTATTTGAAAAATGCATTTTGAAAATTGCAATATTTTGCACCTCAGTATGAAAATTGCATAAATATTGTAGAGTTCATTTTGAATTCTTTTTCCAGTAAATATATACATTCTGCAGTGAATTCCGTCTGTCCTGATGTATTTATTTTGTAATACAAGACTAAATTATGCTGCTCATTTTTGTTTCCTCAAAATTCTCTATTTATGCAAGACTATTTGTTAAACTCTCTTGCATAGTGAATAGGACAACCACTCCCCTGTTCAGATATGATGTTTGATTCCGAACTCTTGAATTTCATATTTGATATGTTTTTCTTCTCCTCCTACATTATGGCAATTTAAGATGGCAGTTGTATTGCCTCTAATGAGTGGCATAACAATGTGGTACTATCGGCTTTTCTTTATGTTTTATATTTCTCAATATGGAAAAAGATTTAGTTCACAACTGCCCACTTGCCAAAGTGTGTAGACTCTACCTGAAATGATTTCTAATGCTGTATCAACTAAAGAAATGTGGAAAAAAATAAAGTGAGTGTAAAATAGAGAACAAGTGTGACATACAGATTTCTTGGAATGAGAATATTTACTTCTTAATAGCAGATATTAATGGCATACCTGGTGTAGTAACAGGGAGAGATGTCAATGTGACAGAGACAGGTGTTGTTACTGCTGCTGTTGTCACTGGAACAGGTGTTGTTACTGCTGCTGTTGTCACTGCAACAGGTGTTGTTACTGCGGCTTTTGTTACAGGAACAGGTGTTGTTACTGCTGCTGTTGAGACTACAGCTGTTGTAGGAGGAATAGCTGCAAAAATCAATGAATTCATGAATACATTTTCATTATGGAGAATGTTGTAACTCATGAAATCATGAGGACATATAATCACACTTTGAAGACCATTGAAGTTTACTGATTACATAATTTTAGGCATTTTACAGTTCCAATGAATAGGTCATCAATATGAATTGTACTCACTTGTTTTCTTAGCGCAGACTTTAGTAGCAATGCTTACTACCATTGGATCATTTGGATTTTTGGGAGTCAATGTGATTTTAATTCCAGTTTGCGTATCTTCTGCAGGAATTGCTACATTCTTATTAGCTGGAGAAATCTGAATATGAAATGAATGCATGATTGAGAAAAAGACAGGAAAAGGTCGAATGCTTATTTAATGATTTTTCGAAACTCTCTTTTGGTAATGTAAATACTTGAGGAGAAAATGCGGTGACAATGTGAAATTTGAATAATGGTGTGTTGATAAGATTTGAAATCTGAAAAGAATGAGAGAATATTTACCTTAACAAAAAGAAGTCCACTTGGTGTAATTGTCTCAACTGTGTATTTTTCCACATTATCATTATCCAGTAGTTGAATTGTAGCTCCATTCTTCAGTGTATCTCCAACATCAATTTTAACAGTTCTATTAGATGGTCCATTAGTAACCCATGTGTTACCAGGTCGAATGTCACTGGGAATTCCGTATGGATACAACTGAATGGCTTTATCAGGAATGATTGTTTCATCATCCATTCCGTTGACATAGAGACACGTCACTATCATAAGATAAATGAAATGAAAGAATTAGCATGTAATCGTTATGAAATTTGGAGAGAAAGCACTGATGATCAGAGAAAATGTTTAAAATTATTCTGGGAGGAAAAACCAATATTTGCAAACCTGCACATATTTATTTTTTTTTTCATTGAAACGATATCAGTAAATTGCGATTATTATAATGCCTTTACTAATTTTAATGGATTTTCTAGTGTTTCTCTGTGTAATCTGATTGCTAGTCCAAAGTGGAAAAGTCCACCATTAAATTGTGAAAGGCTGCATGTTGCATTTGAGAACATTATGATGAAAGTAAAATGTCCAGTATCAATGGAAGTGTACAATTTGAAGGTTGTTGGTGGTGATAATAAACAGCGTCATGCTCAGATATATTGATGTCGTGAATGAATGAATCAAATGTGATTCTGCACATTTAAGGAAACATTTGATCTGTGCTCATGAAGATTATTTGAAAAAAATGCATTTTGAAAATTGCAATATTTTGCACCTCAGTATGAAAATTGCATAAATATTGTAGAGTTCATTTTGAATTCTTTTTTCCAGTAAATATATACATTCTGCAGTGAATTCCGTCTGTCCTGATGTATTTATTTTGTAATACAAGACTAAATTATGCTGCTCATTTTTGTTTCCTCAAAATTCTCTATTTATGCAAGACTATTTGTTAAACTCTCTTGCATAGTGAATAGGACAACCACTCCCCTGTTCAGATATGATGTTTGATTCCGAACTCTTGAATTTCATATTTGATATGTTTTTCTTCTCCTCCTACATTATGGCAATTTAAGATGGCAGTTGTATTGCCTCTAATGAGTGGCATAACAATGTGGTACTATCGGCTTTTCTTTATGTTTTATATTTCTCAATATGGAAAAAGATTTAGTTCACAACTGCCCACTTGCCAAAGTGTGTAGACTCTACCTGAAATGATGTCTAATGCTGTATCAACTAAAGAAATGTGGAAAAAAATAAAGTGAGTGTAAAATAGAGAACAAGTGTGACATACAGATTTCTTGGAATGAGAATATTTACTTCTTAATAGCAGATATTAATGGCATACCTGGTGTAGTAACAGGGAGAGATGTCAATGTGACAGAGACAGGTGTTGTTACTGCTGCTGTTGTCACTGGAACAGGTGTTTTTACTGCTGCTGTTGTCACTGCAACAGGTGTTGTTACTGCGGCTTTTGTTACAGGAACAGGTGTTGTTACTGCTGCTGTTGAGACTACAGCTGTTGTAGGAGGAATAGCTGCAAAAATCAATGAATTCATGAATACATTTTCATTATGGAGAATGTTGTAACTCATGAAATCATGAGGACATATAATCACACTTTGAAGACCATTGAAGTTTACTGATTACATAATTTTAGGCATTTTACAGTTCCAATGAATAGGTCATCAATATGAATTGTACTCACTTGTTTTCTTAGCGCAGACTTTAGTAGCAATGCTTACTACCATTGGATCATTTGGATTTTTGGGAGTCAATGTGATTTTAATTCCAGTTTGCGTATCTTCTGCAGGAATTGCTACATTCTTATTAGCTGGAGAAATCTGAATATGAAATGAATGCATGATTGAGAAAAAGACAGGAAAAGGTCGAATGCTTATTTAATGATTTTTCGAAACTCTCTTTTGGTAATGTAAATACTTGAGGAGAAAATGCGGTGACAATGTGAAATTTGAATAATGGTGTGTTGATAAGATTTGAAATCTGAAAAGAATGAGAGAATATTTACCTTAACAAAAAGAAGTCCACTTGGTGTAATTGTCTCAACTGTGTATTTTTCCACATTATCATTATCCAGTAGTTGAATTGTAGCTCCATTCTTCAGTGTATCTCCAACATCAATTTTAACAGTTCTATTAGATGGTCCATTAGTAACCCATGTGTTACCAGGTCGAATGTCACTGGGAATTCCGTATGGATACAACTGAATGGCTTTATCAGGAATGATTGTTTCATCATCCATTCCGTTGACATAGAGACACGTCACTATCATAAGATAAATGAAATGAAAGAATTAGCATGTAATCGTTATGAAATTGGAGAAAAGCACTGATGATCAGAGAAAATGTTTAAATTCATTTTGAGTACGAAAAACCAATCCGAACGTTTCTTTTGTTCAGGTTTTCATTAATTTTGTATTATTTATTGGCCATAAGAATTTTAATGGACTTTCTAGTTTCTATCCCTTTGCAATAACATTGCCAATGAAATGAAAGAGACTTCATCAGTAATTTCTCAAATACGTCATTGCCGCTAAGGAGAAATAAATAAATTAGAATAAATAGAAAATTCGACCAAATTTCACCACCTCTAAAATCAGATGGATAATTAAAATTGCTAATCCAAAGAGGAAAACTCCACCATTAAATTCTGAAATGCTGCATGTTGCATTTGAGAACATGATGATGAAAAAAAATGTCCAGTATCAATGGAAGTGTGCAATTTTGATGGTTGTTGGTGATAATAAGCAACGTCATGCTAAGATATATTGATGTCTTGAATGAACGAATCAAATGTGATTCTGCACATTTAAAGGAAACATTTGATCTGTGATCATGATGCTTAATTGAAAAATGCATTTCGAAAATTGCAATATTTTTGCACATCAGTGTGAATATTGCATAAATATTGTAGAGTTCATTTAGAATTCTTTTTCCAGTAAATATATACATTTCGGCATTGAATTCCGCCTGTCCTGATGTATTTTTTTTATACAAGACTAAATTATGCTGCTCATTTTTGTTTCCTCAAAATTCTCTATTTATGCAAGACTATTTGTTAAACTCTCCTGCATAGTGAATCGGACAACCACTCCCCTGTTCAGATATGATGTTTGATTCCGAACTCTTGAATTTCATATTTGATATGTTTTTCTTCTCCTCCTACATTATGGCAATTTAAGATGGCAGTTGTATTGCCTCTAATGAGTGGCATAACAATGTGGTACAATCGGTTTTCGTTTATGTTTTATATTTTCCAATATGGACAAAAGATTTAGTTCACAACTGCCCACTTGCCAAAGTGTGTAGACTCTACCTGAAATCATTCCTAATCCTGTATCATCTAAAGAAATGTGGAAAAAAATAAAGTGAGTGTAAAATAGAGAACAAGTGTGACATACAGATTTCTTGGAATGAGAATATTTACTTCTTAATAGCAGATATTAATGGCATACCTGGTGTAGTAACAGGGAGAGATGTCAATGTCACAGAGACAGGTGTTGTTACTGCTGCTGTTGTCACTGCAACAGGTGTTGTTACTGCGGCTTTTGTTACAGGAACAGGTGTTGTTACTGCTGCTGTTGAGACTACAGCTGTTATAGGAGGAATAGCTGCAAAAATCAATGAATTCATGAATACATTTTCATTATGGAGAATGTTGTAACTCATGAAATCATGAGGACATATAATCACACTTTGAAGACCATTGAAGTTTACTGATTACATAATTTTAGGCATTTTACAGTTCCAATGAATAGGTCATCAATATGAATTGTACTCACTTGTTTTCTTAGCGCAGACTTTAGTAGCAATGCTTACTACCATTGGATCATTTGGATTTTTGGGAGTCAATGTGATTTTAATTCCAGTTTGCGTATCTTCTGCAGGAATTGCTACATTCTTATTAGCTGGAGAAATCTGAATATGAAATGAATGCATGATTGAGAAAAAGACAGGAAAAGGTCGAATGCTTATTTAATGATTTTTCGAAACTCTCTTTTGGTAATGTAAATACTTGAGGAGAAAATGCGGTGACAATGTGAAATTTGAATAATGGTGTGTTGATAAGATTTGAAATCTGAAAAGAATGAGAGAATATTTACCTTAACAAAAGAAGTCCACTTGGTGTAATTGTCTCAACTGTGTATTTTTCCACATTATCATTATCCAGTAGTTGAATTGTAGCTCCATTCTTCAGTGTATCTCCAACATCAATTTTAACAGTTCTATTAGCTGGTCCATTAGTAACCCATGTGTTACCAGGTCGAATGTCACTGGGAATTCCGTATGGATACAACTGAATGGCTTTATCAGGAATGATTGTTTCATCATCCATTCCGTTGACATAGAGACACGTCACTATCATAAGATAAATGAAATGAAAGAATTAGCATGTAATCGTTATGAAATTTGGAGAAAAGCACTGATGATCAGAGAAAATGTTTAAAATTATTCTGGGAGGGAAAAACCAATATTTGCAAACCTGCACATATTTATTTTTTTTTCATTGAAACGATATCAGTAAATTGCGATTATTATAATGCCTTTACTAATTTTAATGGATTTTCTAGTGTTTCTCTGTGTAATCTGATTGCTAGTCCAAAGTGGAAAAGTCCACCATTAAATTGTGAAAGGCTGCATGTTGCATTTGAGAACATTATGATGAAAGTAAAATGTCCAGTATCAATGGAAGTGTACAATTTGAAGGTTGTTGGTGGTGATAATAAACAGCGTCATGCTCAGATATATTGATGTCGTGAATGAATGAATCAAATGTGATTCTGCACATTTAAGGAAACATTTGATCTGTGCTCATGAAGATTATTTGAAAAAATGCATTTTGAAAATTGCAATATTTTGCACCTCAGTATGAAAATTGCATAAATATTGTAGAGTTCATTTTGAATTCTTTTTTCCAGTAAATATATACATTCTGCAGTGAATTCCGTCTGTCCTGATGTATTTATTTTGTAATACAAGACTAAATTATGCTGCTCATTTTTGTTTCCTCAAAATTCTCTATTTATGCAAGACTATTTGTTAAACTCTCCTGCATAGTGAATCGGACAACCACTCCCCTGTTCAGATATGATGTTTGATTCCGAACACTTGAATTTCATATTTGATATGTTTTTCTTCTCCTCCTACATTATGGCAATTTAAGATGGCAGTTGTATTGCCTCTAATGAGTGGCATAACAATGTGGTACAATCGGTTTTCGTTTATGTTTTATATTTTCCAATATGGACAAAAGATTTAGTTCACAACTGCCCACTTGCCAAAGTGTGTAGACTCTACCTGAAATCATTCCTAATCCTGTATCATCTAAAGAAATGTGGAAAAAAATAAAGTGAGTGTAAAATAGAGAACAAGTGTGACATACAGATTTCTTGGAATGAGAATATTTACTTCTTAATAGCAGATATTAATGGCATACCTGGTGTAGTAACAGGGAGAGATGTCAATGTCACAGAGACAGGTGTTGTTACTGCTGCTGTTGTCACTGCAACAGGTGTTGTTACTGCGGCTTTTGTTACAGGAACAGGTGTTGTTACTGCTGCTGTTGAGACTACAGCTGTTATAGGAGGAATAGCTGCAAAAATCAATGAATTCATGAATACATTTTCATTATGGAGAATGTTGTAACTCATGAAATCATGAGGACATATAATCACACTTTGAAGACCATTGAAGTTTACTGATTACATAATTTTAGGCATTTTACAGTTCCAATGAATAGGTCATCAATATGAATTGTACTCACTTGTTTTCTTAGCGCAGACTTTAGTAGCAATGCTTACTACCATTGGATCATTTGGATTTTGGGAGTCAATGTGATTTTAATTCCAGTTTGCGTATCTTCTGCAGGAATTGCTACATTCTTATTAGCTGGAGAAATCTGAATATGAAATGAATGCATGATTGAGAAAAAGACAGGAAAAGGTCGAATGCTTATTTAATGATTTTTTTTGAAACTCTCTTTTGGTAATGTAAATACTTGAGGAGAAATGCGGTGACAATGTGAAATTTGAATAATGGTGTGTTGATAAGATTTGAAATCTGAAAAGAATGAGAGAATATTTACCTTAACAAAAAGAAGTCCACTTGGTGTAATTGTCTCAACTGTGTATTTTTCCACATTATCATTATCCAGTAGTTGAATTGTAGCTCCATTCTTCAGTGTATCTCCAACATCAATTTTAACAGTTCTATTAGATGGTCCATTAGTAACCCATGTGTTACCAGGTCGAATGTCACTGGGAATTCCGTATGGATACAACTGAATGGCTTTATCAGGAATGATTGTTTCATCATCCATTCCGTTGACATAGAGACACGTCACTATCATAAGATAAATGAAATGAAAGAATTATCATGTAATCGTTATGAAATTGGAGAGAAAGCACTGATGATCAGAGAAAATGTTTAAATTCATTTTGAGTACGAAAAACCAATCCGAACGTTTCTTTTGTTCAGGTTTTCATTAATTTTGTATTATTTATTGGCCATAAGAATTTTAATGGACTTTCTAGTTTCTATCCCTTTGCAATAACATTGCCAATGAAATGAAAGAGACTTCATCAGTAATTTCTCAAATACGTCATTGCCGCTAAGGAGAAATAAATAAATTAGAATAAATAGAAAATTCGACCAAATTTCACCACCTCTAAAATCAGATGGATAATTAAAATTGCTAATCCAAAGAGGAAAACTCCACCATTAAATTCTCCTGAAATGCTGCATGTTGCATTTGAGAACATGATGATGAAAGTAAAATGTCCAGTATCAATGGAAGTGTGCAATTTTGATGGTTGTTGGTGATAATAAGCAACGTCATGCTAAGATATATTGATGTCTTGAATGAACGAATCAAATGTGATTCTGCACATTTAAGGAAACATTTGATCTGTGATCATGATGCTTAATTGAAAAATGCATTTCGAAAATTGCAATATTTTGCACATCAGTGTGAATATTGCATAAATATTGTAGAGTTCATTTAGAATTCTTTTTTCCAGTAAATATATACATTCGGCATTGAATTCCGCCTGTCCTGATGTATTTTTTTATACAAGACTAAATTATGCTGCTCATTTTTGTTTCCTCAAAATTCTCTATTTATGCAAGACTATTTGTTAAACTCTCCTGCATAGTGAATCGGACAACCACTCCCCTGTTCAGATATGATGTTTGATTCCGAACTCTTGAATTTCATATTTGATATGTTTTTCTTCTCCTCCTACATTATGGCAATTTAAGATGGCAGTTGTATTGCCTCTAATGAGTGGCATAACAATGTGGTACTATCGGCTTTTCTTTATGTTTTATATTTCTCAATATGGAAAAAGATTTAGTTCACAACTGCCCACTTGCCAAAGTGTGTAGACTCTACCTGAAATGATGTCTAATGCTGTATCAACTAAAGAAATGTGGAAAAAAATAAAGTGAGTGTAAAATAGAGAACAAGTGTGACATACAGATTTCTTGGAATGAGAATATTTACTTCTTAATAGCAGATATTAATGGCATACCTGGTGTAGTAACAGGGAGAGATGTCAATGTCACAGAGACAGGTGTTGTTACTGCTGCTGTTGTCACTGCAACAGGTGTTGTTACTGCGGCTTTTGTTACAGGAACAGGTGTTGTTACTGCTGCTGTTGAGACTACAGCTGTTATAGGAGGAATAGCTGCAAAAATCAATGAATTCATGAATACATTTTCATTATGGAGAATGTTGTAACTCATGAAATCATGAGGACATATAATCACACTTTGAAGACCATTGAAGTTTACTGATTACATAATTTTAGGCATTTTACAGTTCCAATGAATAGGTCATCAATATGAATTGTACTCACTTGTTTTCTTAGCGCAGACTTTAGTAGCAATGCTTACTACCATTGGATCATTTGGATTTTTGGGAGTCAATGTAATTTTAATTCCAGTTTGCGTATCTTCTGCAGGAATTGCTACATTCTTATTAGCTGGAGAAATCTGAATATGAAATGAATGCATGATTGAGAAAAAGACAGGAAAAGGTCGAATGCTTATTTAATGATTTTTCGAAATTCTCTTTGGTAATGTAAATACTTGAGGAGAAAATGCGGTGACAATGTGAAATTTGAATAATGGTGTGTTGATAAGATTTGAAATCTGAAAAGAATGAGAGAATATTTACCTTAACAAAAAGAAGTCCACTTGGTGTAATTGTCTCAACTGTGTATTTTCCACATTATCATTATCCAGTAGTTGAATTGTAGCTCCATTCTTCAGTGTATCTCCAACATCAATTTTAACAGTTCTATTAGATGGTCCATTAGTAACCCATGTGTTACCAGGTCGAATGTCACTGGGAATTCCGTATGGATACAACTGAATGGCTTTATCAGGAATGATTGTTTCATCATCCATTCCGTTGACATAGAGACACGTCACTATCATAAGATAAATGAAATGAAAGAATTAGCATGTAATCGTTATGAAATTTGGAGAGAAAGCACTGATGATCAGAGAAAATGTTTAAAATTATTCTGGGAGGGAAAAACCAATATTTGCAAACCTGCACATATTTATTTTTTTTTCATTGAAACGATATCAGTAAATTGCGATTATTATAATGCCTTTACTAATTTTAATGGATTTTCTAGTGTTTCTCTGTGTAATCTGATTGCTAGTCCAAAGTGGAAAAGTCCACCATTAAATTGTGAAAGGCTGCATGTTGCATTTGAGAACATTATGATGAAAGTAAAATGTCCAGTATCAATGGAAGTGTACAATTTGAAGGTTGTTGGTGGTGATAATAAACAGCGTCATGCTCAGATATATTGATGTCGTGAATGAATGAATCAAATGTGATTCTGCACATTTAAGGAAACATTTGATCTGTGCTCATGAAGATTATTTGAAAAATGCATTTGAAAATTGCAATATTTTGCACCTCAGTATGAAAATTGCATAAATATTGTAGAGTTCATTTTGAATTCTTTTTCCAGTAAATATATACATTCTGCAGTGAATTCCGTCTGTCCTGATGTATTTATTTTGTAATACAAGACTAAATTATGCTGCTCATTTTGTTTCCTCAAAATTCTCTATTTATGCAAGACTATTTGTTAAACTCTCTTGCATAGTGAATAGGACAACCACTCCCCTGTTCAGATATGATGTTTGATTCCGAACACTTGAATTTCATATTTGATATGTTTTTCTTCTCCTCCTACATTATGGCAATTTAAGATGGCAGTTGTATTGCCTCTAATGAGTGGCATAACAATGTGGTACTATCGGCTTTTCTTTATGTTTTATATTTCTCAATATGGAAAAAGATTTAGTTCACAACTGCCCACTTGCCAAAGTGTGTAGACTCTACCTGAAATGATGTCTAATGCTGTATCAACTAAAGAAATGTGGAAAAAAATAAAGTGAGTGTAAAATAGAGAACAAGTGTGACATACAGATTTCTTGGAATGAGAATATTTACTTCTTAATAGCAGATATTAATGGCATACCTGGTGTAGTAACAGGGAGAGATGTCAATGTCACAGAGACAGGTGTTGTTACTGCTGCTGTTGTCACTGCAACAGGTGTTGTTACTGCGGCTTTTGTTACAGGAACAGGTGTTGTTACTGCTGCTGTTGAGACTACAGCTGTTATAGGAGGAATAGCTGCAAAAATCAATGAATTCATGAATACATTTTCATTATGGAGAATGTTGTAACTCATGAAATCATGAGGACATATAATCACACTTTGAAGACCATTGAAGTTTACTGATTACATAATTTTAGGCATTTTACAGTTCCAATGAATAGGTCATCAATATGAATTGTACTCACTTGTTTTCTTAGCGCAGACTTTAGTAGCAATGCTTACTACCATTGGATCATTTGGATTTTTGGGGAGTCAATGTGATTTTAATTCCAGTTTGCGTATCTTCTGCAGGAATTGCTACATTCTTATTAGCTGGAGAAATCTGAATATGAAATGAATGCATGATTGAGAAAAAAGACAGGAAAAGGTCGAATGCTTATTTAATGATTTTTCGAAACTCTCTTTTGGTAATGTAAATACTTGAGGAGAAAATGCGGTGACAATGTGAAATTTGAATAATGGTGTGTTGATAAGATTTGAAATCTGAAAAGAATGAGAGAATATTTACCTTAACAAAAAGAAGTCCACTTGGTGTAATTGTCTCAACTGTGTATTTTTCCACATTATCATTATCCAGTAGTTGAATTGTAGCTCCATTCTTCAGTGTATCTCCAACATCAATTTTAACAGTTCTATTAGATGGTCCATTAGTAACCCATGTGTTACCAGGTCGAATGTCACTGGGAATTCCGTATGGATACAACTGAATGGCTTTATCAGGAATGATTGTTTCATCATCCATTCCGTTGACATAGAGACACGTCACTATCATAAGATAAATGAAATGAAAGAATTAGCATGTAATCGTTATGAAATTGGAGAGAAAGCACTGATGATCAGAGAAAATGTTTAAATTCATTTTGAGTACGAAAAACCAATCCGAACGTTTCTTTTGTTCAGGTTTTCATTAATTTTGTATTATTTATTGGCCATAAGAATTTTAATGGACTTTCTAGTTTCTATCCCTTTGCAATAACATTGCCAATGAAATGAAAGAGACTTCATCAGTAATTTCTCAAATACGTCATTGCCGCTAAGGAGAAATAAATAAATTAGAATAAATAGAAAATTCGACCAAATTTCACCACCTCTAAAATCAGATGGATAATTAAAATTGCTAATCCAAAGAGGAAAACTCCACCATTAAATTCTGAAATGCTGCATGTTGCATTTGAGAACATGATGATGAAAGTAAAATGTCCAGTATCAATGGAAGTGTGCAATTTTGATGGTTGTTGGTGATAATAAGCAACGTCATGCTAAGATATATTGATGTCTTGAATGAACGAATCAAATGTGATTCTGCACATTTAAGGAAACATTTGATCTGTGATCATGATGCTTAATTGAAAAATGCATTTCGAAAATTGCAATATTTTGCACATCAGTGTGAATATTGCATAAATATTGTAGAGTTCATTTAGAATTCTTTTTTCCAGTAAATATATACATTCGGCATTGAATTCCGCCTGTCCTGATGTATTTTTTTATACAAGACTAAATTATGCTGCTCATTTTTGTTTCCTCAAAATTCTCTATTTATGCAAGACTATTTGTTAAACTCTCCTGCATAGTGAATCGGACAACCACTCCCCTGTTCAGATATGATGTTTGATTCCGAACTCTTGAATTTCATATTTGATATGTTTTTCTTCTCCTCCTACATTATGGCAATTTAAGATGGCAGCTGTATTGCCTCTAATGAGTGGCATAACAATGTGGTACTATCGGCTTTTCTTTATGTTTTATATTTCTCAATATGGAAAAAGATTTAGTTCACAACTGCCCACTTGCCAAAGTGTGTAGACTCTACCTGAAATCATTCCTAATCCTGTATCATCTAAAGAAATGTGGAAAAAAATAAAGTGAGTGTAAAATAGAGAACAAGTGTGACATACAGATTTCTTGGAATGAGAATATTTACTTCTTAATAGCAGATATTAATGGCATACCTGGTGTAGTAACAGGGAGAGATGTCAATGTGACAGAGACAGGTGTTGTTACTGGTGCTTTTGTCAGTGGAACAGGTGTTGTTACTGCTGCTGTTGTCACTGGAATGGGTGTTGTGACTGCTGCTGTTGTCACTGGAACAGGTTTTGTTACTGCTGCCGTTGTCAGTGGAACAAGTGTTGTTACTGCAGTTGCTGTTGACAGGATAGCTGGAAAAGAATGTTGATTTTTATTTCTCAAATATACTTTTTACTGTGTGCATGTATTTATAATAACATTTCTCTATTAGTAGAAACAATTTTCTATGAATTATTAATTAATTCTTTGAAGCATTATTTCATACGGTAAGAAACTATCATCAATAAAATGAATTATAATTCCAAATTGTTTTCTCATTTTGTTTCAAATCCATTTTATATTTTATATTGGATGATGTGTAAATGCCCTTCCTGTGTATCCAGTTTTATAAATTCAGCTGGGTCGTAATTATCTCAAAATACTGCTAATTTGAAGTCTTAATATTGCAACTATACTAGTTTCAACTTGTATCAACCAGAAATTTGCCAATATTTTTTCACTCCCTGTTCTTGGTTTTAATTTAAGCTGAGTTGTTATTTTTACAGTGAATCTTGTATATGCATGACATTAGACTTAATTATCAGCACAAATACTTTGCAAAAATTCCATTTTTTATATATGAATATATGTATTCAAAAATTGTTTTTTTCATATGTTGCTGGCCCTGGATAAATTCAATATGATAAGGATGTAATCAGTCATAATGGGTATTATGGAATACTCAAAGAATGTTATGAACATTAGTGAAAATGCAAATTACTCCATATTCACAAAGGACACATATGTAAGAATGGAAATAAACTGTTTGTCCGATGTTGGCAAAGTTTTAAGAAACATTTTCTTTCTACAACATCATGTTCATACATGTATCACTTCAGCTGTCAAATGCTGGAGTTCAGTTCGGCATTCATTGGCTAAACTTTGTTCTGTATTTGCTGGTAGACCTGAGTAATTCTGTACTAGTCACAGACAAATGAAATGTTTTTGGATGCTTTAAAGATTTAGATTTATATGTTACTTTTAGATGGTGGGAATTTATTTGCAAAATTTTACTGGAGAAACACAGTGGGATTTAAATAGGTAACCTAATGAAAATGGAGATAGTTTTTGTGCAGAATAACTAAACTCTCATATATATTGTAATAGTCTGAGTATGACAATATAGTCAATAATGTGATCAATGATGTTAAATATATATATATAGGACTCTGATTAATTGGTTTCAAGGATAGCTTATAGCAAAGCCTAGCTGAGGTATGATAATGATATTAGGACAATTCAAGATCACTATTTCAATCCCATCAGATCTATTCTCAAGTTTATTATAGAGAAGAATGAACTTAACAACCTTGCTTTTCTCATTGTCCTGATAACTTGTTCAGAACATGGGATAAACCTATGTATACGTTGTTAGTACTGATTCATAAGGTACAGCTTAATTTGTGATGCCCAGCAGATAAAAAAAAACAGAATTAGAAGTGTGTTCAAAAGTTACATAATCTTATGCAACCAGCTCACAAATATTAGATGCTCATCTAAGAAAAATACAATTGAAAATATTGTGTATAAAATCTCATTTAGTTACAACAGAATATATAAGGATGAAACCATTTCTCATGGTCATCATAAGGACATGATTGATGGTCAAGGATCACACATAGAAATAAAAGAAGGTCACTATCACAATAATCAACGAGGACCACTCAGGGATATACAAAAACTAAATATGGCTTCATAAAATGTCATTAATATGTCCAGTGTAGAAATTAGTTTCATTTGGAATCTAGCAATCAAAATACCACATAGGAAATCACCAGAGAAATAAAACATACATAGATTGAAAGCATTAATTTACTTATGATATCCCATAAAGTAATAGGCTCTTTTAATACTTCGGCATTGGCTAGGTTTTAAAAAATTAGTCAAATAATTTCCATACTGGTCAAAATCTTAGCCTTTGAAATATTTTCATTGTCATTAAATGGAATAGATGAGTTTTTGCACTCAATAGAATGATTTGTTAATGAAGTCAATAGTTCCGTAAAGCTAACCCTAACCTGGCAATGTAAAAATAAACTGCAGATAATAAACTAATAAGATTATAATCAAGACCCGGCCAACAATGAACCTCTATACCTAAAAATGATTTGAAACTAAACTAGATTAAGTATTGGAAAAATACAGTAACAAAGTGAAATATAGTTTAAAGAAGGAAATTAATGAATATTAGCAACAGCATATCTGAGAAGCTGAGATCAAAACATATGTAGAAAAGTAATAATTTCATGTTTAAACTCACTTGTTTCCTTCACACAGATTTTCGTGGAAATTTTCACTTCAACAGGAATTGTAGGATCCAAAGGAACAAATGTAATTTTCACAACAGTGTTGTCTGTACCAGGAGGAAGCGACACAGTTTGATCAGGTGGAGATATGACCTCAAATCTTCCTGCTGTAGGCACAGTTGAAATAAATCCTACTGGGGTAGTACTTTTAATAGCTTGAGCAACAGTAACTGCCTGTTAGTAAGTTATAAAATAATACAATTTTTGTAGTCGATGGAAAATACAAATAATTTTCATATTTAGCATTAAATCCCACTTTCACAAAATGTAAGAATAATCTATACAATATAAAAAATTTTCAAGGAAATATGAATCAAGTAGGATGGTAGTTTTTGATACTACACAAGAAAATTGTTTTTTTAAAGAACTGAAAAAAGTGAACGTAAATGTTTGAACGTATATGTTTGAAATTGACTTATTCATTTAATAAATGAAGGAAAATTTTTTTTATTGAAACACAATAAAAATTGAAAATTATATCATTGTAAGAATATTCAGTGACTTTGAATTCTTTAAGTAATTTGTTTATTATTAATATTACATATTAATATTACATATTGATATTATTATATCATTATATTATTATATTCATATTAATTAATATTATTAATATTACATATTAATATTACATATTAATATTTAAATAATATGTTTATAATTAATATTACATTTTTCTCGTTATATTTTTGTTACTGAGAATATAAAGTATAAATATTCATTATCAATAGAAAATGACAAAATATTAAAAAGAAAACCAAGGATGCAAGACATTTTCCTACCAATGATCAAATGCATTTAGAATTTTATAACTAATAAAAGTAGAACTTTTAAAGTTGATTAAATGCCTTTCATTGCCCACATTAAAAAAATGACGAACACGTAAATTAGCTAAAACTTACTTTTGTAGGCTTGATTAATTCAACAATGAATTGTTTTACATTTTCATTTTCTGCAAGTGCAACAATCCCTCCAGTTTTCAGACTTTCTCCAATCACAATTGTTGCTACTCTGTTGTTTGGGGTGGTTGATTTCCATCCCCTACCACTGGGTCTTATATCTGCAGGATTCCCTGTTGGTTCCAGTGTGATGGCACTGTCTGGAACTGTTGTATCATCTTCCATTCCATCAACAAGTGGACATGTTACTATAAAAAATTTAAAGTATAATTGCTTGATAAGATTAAATAAAAATTATATTAAATTGTTTTTATTTCGTCTTAAAAATGTTCGCAGTCATGGCTTTGCTCAACTTTCTTCATTTTAATATCTGAAAATTGTTATGATTTATTTGTAAAGATAATGGAAGGGATTCGCATTCTATTATCTAAAGTTTTAGATTTGTTGTTCTTCGACATGAATAAAAAAATTAATTAAATACAGAAACTGATTTTTCCTTTAATTCAGATTAGCTTTAGATCATTATATTTCAAATTAAACATAAATTAAAATTAAAAAATGTCATATAAAATGTGTTTTACATTTTAATCTTTTCAGAAAGTCCGTGTCGCTACCTATTTTAAAAAAAAAACATGATTTCACATCTTTGGCAAAACTTTCGTCGTAATATTTGTTTGATTTATAATAATGTGAATTTCAAATATTTCGAGAGATTTACGACTTGTTTTATACCCGCCATTGCAATAATATTTGTAGACGAAAACTATTTGAAGAATTAGAATCGTAAGGGATGTTTCGGGACAATGGTTAGTCAAAAATTATTCCCAATCACTTTCAAGGAACATCATTTAGGATTGTAATTTTTCAAATAAAAAGTACAGAACAAGAGACGAATATTGAAATGCAATGTAATATCGGTCCTAAAAATGAACGCTGGGTAATAACCTCCCTAGAGATGAAGTTGAGACTTGAAACAACAAAAAAGGGGGTCTAGAAGAGAGAAGGATGTCGAGAAAATCATCGACAGAACATAAAAGAATAACGACGAAATTTTAGAGAAAATGAAAACAAAAAAGACATTTATACTTAGCGCCAGAAAGAGACATTTGAAAATTCTAGGGCAGATAATGAGGAAAGAGGACATGAAGAATTAGACTGCCACAGGACAGTCACAGCAAGAGGGTCAGAGGAAAAAAAAGCATAACTAACTTAACGAACTTGAGTAAATGGGCGGAAGTGTAGGGTTTAGCAGAGATAGAAAAAAATTATAAAGAGATAAAAAAGAAAAGGAAATTGCGAAGAGCCATCATCGCCAACAACTAGAAGAAACAAGACACATAGAAGAAGAAAGCTTAAACCTGGAGCAAGTGTAGACAATCTCGGTGAAATAGTTGTTAGAGCTCGGACAGGAACAAATGTGGATTTTACAGGAGCAACAGTAGTTAACACAGGAGCAAGTGATGTTAATCCTGGGGCAATTGTTGATTTAGCAGGAGCGGCAGTAGTCACAACTGGAGGTGCTGTGGTCATGCCCGGTGCAAGTGTTGTTACAGCAGGAGCTGGAGTAATAATACCTGCAGCAGGTGTTGTTAATCCAGGGGCAAATGTTGATTTAGCAGGAGCAGCAGTAGTTACAACTAGTGCGGCTGTGGTCATGCCCGGAGCAAGTGTTGTTGCAGCAGAAGCTGGAGTAGTAAGACCTGGAGAAGTTGTTGTTATTCCAGGGGCAAGAGTTGATTTAGCAGGAGCAGCAGTAGTTAGAGCTGGAGCTGCTGTGGTCATGCCCGGAGCAAGTGTTGTTGCAGCAGAAGCTGGAGTGGTAAGACCTGGGGCAGTTGTTGTTATTCCAGGGGCAAGAGTTGATTTACCAGGGCAGCAGTAGTTAGAGCTGGAGCTGCTGTGGTCATGCCCGAGCAAGTGTTGTTGCAGCAGAAGCTGGAGTGGTAAGACCTGGAGCAGTTGTTGTTATTGCAGGGCAAGAGTTGATTTAGCAGGAGCAGTAGTAGTTAGAGCTGGAGCTGCGGTGGTCATGCCAGGAGCAGGGGTTGTTGCAGCAGGCGCTGTAGTGGTAAGACCTGGAGCAGGTGTAGTTATTCCAGGGCAAGAGTTGATTTTAGCAGGAGCAGCAGTAGTTAGAGCTGGAGCTGCAGTGGTCATGCCTGGAGCAAGTGTTGTTGCAGCAGAAGCTGGAGTGGTAAGACCTGGGGCAGTTGTTGTTATTCCAGGGGCAAGAGTTGATTTAGCAAGAGCTGCAGTAGTTAGAGCTGGAGCGGCTGTGGTCATGCCCGAGCAAGTGTTGTTGCAGCAGAAGCTGGAGTGGTAAGACCTGGGGCAGTTGTTGTTATTCCAGGGGCAAGAGTTGATTTAGCAGGAGCAGCAGTAGTTAGAGCTGGAGCTGCAGTGGTCATGCCCGGAGCAAGTGTTGTTGCAGCAGAAGCTGGAGTAGTAAGACCTGGAGAAGTTGTTGTTATTCCAGGGGCAAGAGTTGATTTAGCAGGAGCAGCAGTAGTTAGAGCTGGAGCTGCTGTGGTCATGCCGGAGCAAGTGTTGTTGCAGCAGAAGCTGGAGTGGTAAGACCTGGAGCAGTTGTTGTTATTGCAGGGGCAAGAGTTGATTTAGCAGGGAGCAGTAGTAGTTAGAGCTGGAGCTGCGGTGGTCATGCCAGGAGCAGGGGTTGTTGCAGCAGGCGCTGTAGTGGTAAGACCTGGAGCAGGTGTAGTTATTCCAGGGGCAAGAGTTGATTTAGCAGGAGCAGCAGTAGTTAGAGCTGGAGCTGCAGTGGTCATGCCTGGAGCAAGTGTTGTTGCAGCAGAAGCTGGAGTGGTAAGACCTGGGGCAGTTGTTGTTATTCCAGGGGCAAGAGTTGATTTAGCAAGAGCTGCAGTAGTTAGAGCTGGAGCGGCTGTGGTCATGCCCGGAGCAAGTGTTGTTGCAGCAGAAGCTGGAGTGGTAAGACCTGGGGCAGTTGTTGTTATTCCAGGGGCAAGAGTTGATTTAGCAGGAGCAGCAGTAGTTAGAGCTGGAGCTGCAGTGGTCATGCCCGGAGCAAGTGTTGTTGCAGCAGAAGCTGGAGTGGTAAGACCTGGGGCAGTTGTTGTTATTCCAGGGGCAAGAGTTGATTTAGCAAGAGCTGCAGTAGTTAGAGCTGGAGCGGCTGTGGTCATGCCAGAAAGTGTTGTTGCCAGAAGCTGGAGTGGTAAGACCTGGGGCAGTTGTTGTTGGGCAGCAGAAGCTGGAGCTGGTAAGACCTGGGGTTGTTGCAGTTGTGGGGCAGTGTTATTCCAGGGCAAGAGTTGATTGATTAGCAAGAGCTGCAGTAGTTAGGCTGGAGCGGCTGTGGTCATGCCCCGGAGCAAGTGTTGTTGCAGCAGAAGCTGGAGTGGTAAGACCTGGGGCAGTTGTTGTTATTCCAGGGGCAAGAGTTGATTTAGCAGGAGCAGCAGTAGTTAGAGCTGGAGCTGCTGTGGTCATGCCCGGAGCAAGTGTTGTTGCAGCAGTAGCTGGAGTGGTAAGACCTGGGGCAGTTGTTGTTATTCCAGGGGCAACAGTTGATTTAGCAGGAGCAGCAGTAGTTAGAGCTGGAGCTGCTGTGGTCATGCCCGGAGCAAGTGTTGTTGCAGCAGAAGCTGGAGTGGTAAGACCTGGGGCAGTTGTTGTTATTCCAAGGGCAAGAGTTGATTTACCAGGAACAGCAGTAGTTAGAGCTGGAGCTGCTGTGGTCATGCCCGGAGCAGGTGTTGTTGCAGCAGTAGCTGTAGTAGTAAGACCTGGAGCAGGTGTAGTTATTCCAGGGGCAAGAGTTGATTTAGCAGGAGCAGCAGTAGTGAGAGCTGGAGCTGCAGTGGTCATGCCTGGAGCAAGTGTTGTTGCAGCAGAAGCTGGAGTAGTAAGACCTGGGGCAGTTGTTGTTATTCCAGGGGCAAGAGTTGATTTACCAGGAGCAGCAGTAGTTAGAGCTGGAGCTGCTGTGGTCATGCCCGGAGCAATTGTTGTTGCAGCAGAAGCTGGAGTGGTAAGACCTGGGGCAGTTGTTGTTATTCCAGGGGCAAGAGTTGATTTAGCAAGAGCTGCAGTAGTTAGAGCTGGAGCTGCTGTGGTCATGCCCGAAGGAAGTGTTGTTGCAGCAGAAGCTGGAGTAGTAAGACCTGGAGAAGTTGTTGTTATTCCAGGGGCAAGAGTTGATTTAGCAGGAGCAGCAGTAGTTAGAGCTGGAGCTGCTGTAGTCATGCCCGGAGCAAGTGTTGTTGCAGCAGAAGCTGGAGTGGTAAGACCTGGGGCAGGTGTAGTTATTCCAGGGGCAAGAGTTGATTTACCAGAAACAGCAGTAGTTAGAGCTGGAGCTGCTGTGGTCATGCCCGGAGCAGGTGTTGTTGCAGCAGGAGCTGTAGTGGTAAGACCTGGAGCAGGTGTAGTTATTCCAGGGGCAAGAGTTGATTTAGCAGGAGCAGCAGTAGTGAGAGCTGGAGCTGCAGTGGTCATGCCTTGCGCAAGTGTTGTTGCAGCAGAAGCTGGAGTAGTAAGACCTGGGGCAGTTGTTGTTATTCCAGGGGCAAGAGATGATTTAGCAGAAGCAGTAGTAGTTAGAGCTGGAGCTGCTGTGGTCATGCCCGGAGCAAGTGTTGTTGCAGCAGAAGCTGGAGTGGTAAGACCTGGGGCAGTTTTTGTTATTCCAGGGGCAAGAGTTGATTTACCAGGAACAGCAGTAGTTAGAGCTGGAGCTGCGGTGGTCATGCCCGTAGCAAGTGTTGCTGCAGCAGAAGCTGGAGTGGTAAGACCTGGGGCAGTTATTGTTATTCCAGGGGCAAGAGTTGATTTAGCAGGAGCAGCAGTAGTGAGAGCTGGAGCTGCAGTGGTCATGCCTGGAGCAAGTGTTGTTGCAGCAGAAGCTGGAGTGGTAAGACCAGGGGCAATTGTTGTTATTCCAGGGGCAAGAGTTGATTTAGCAGTAGCAGCAGTAGTTAGAGCTGGAGCTGCTGTGGTCATGCCCGGAGCAAGTGTTGTTGCAGCAGAAGCTGGAGTGGTAAGACCTGGGGCAGTTGTTGTTATTCCAGGGGCAAGAGTTGATTTACCAGGAGCAGCAGTAGTTAGAGCTGGAGCTGCGGTGGTCATGCCCGGAGCAAGTGTTGTTGGAGCAGAAGCTGAAGTGGTAAGACCTGGAGCAGTTGTTGTTATTCCAGGGGCAAGAGTTGATTTAGCAGGAGCAGCAGCAGTAGTTAGAGCTGGAGCTGCTGTGGTCATCCTGGAGCAAGTGTTGTTGCAGCAGAAGCTTGAGTGCTAAGACCTGGGGCAGTTGTTGTTATTCCAGGGGCAACAGTTGATTTAGCAGGAGCAGGAGTAGTTAGACCTGGAGCTGCGGTGGTCATGCCCGGAGCAAGTGTTGTTGCAGCAGAAGCTGGAGTGGTAAGACCTGGGGCAGTTGTTGTTATTCCAGGGGCAACAGTTGATTTAGCAGGAGCAGCAGTAGTTAGACCTGGAGCTGCGGTGGTCATGCCCGGAGCAAGTGTTGTTGCAGCAGAAGCTGGAGTGGTAAGACCTGGGGCAGTTGTTGTTATTCCAGGGGCAACAGTTGATTTAGCAGGAGCAGCAGTAGTTAGACCTGGAGCTGCGGTGGTCATGCCCGGAGCAAGTGTTGTTGCAGCAGAAGCTGGAGTGGTAAGACCTGGGGCAGTTGTTGTTATTCCAGGGGCAAGAGTTGATTTAGTAGGAGCAGCAGTAGTTAGAGCTGGAGCTGCTGTGGTCATGCCCGGAGCAAGTGTTGTTGCAGCAGAAGCTGGAGTGGTAAGACCTGGGGCAGTTGTTGTTATTCCAGGGGCAAGAGTTGATTTAGCAGGAGCAGCAGTAGTTAGAGCTGGAGCTGCTGTGGTCATGCCCGGAGCAAGTGTTGTTGCAGCAGAAGCTGGAGTGGTAAGACCTGGGGCAGGTGTAGTTATTCCAGGGGCAAGAGTTGATTTAGCAGGAGCAGCAGTAGTGAGAGCTGGAGCTGCAGTGGTCATGCCAGAGCAAGTGTTGTTGCAGCAGAAGCTGGAGTGGTAAGACCTGGGGCAGTTGTTTTTTTTCCAGGGCAACAGTTGATTTAGAAGGAGCAGCAGTAGTTAGAGCAGGAGCTGCTGTGGTCATGCCCGGAGCAAGTGTTGTTGCAGCAGAAGCTTGAGAGCTAAGACCTGGGGCAGGTGTAGTTATTCCAGGGGCAAGAGTTGATTTGGCAGGAGCAGCAGTAGTGAGAGCTGGAGCTGCGGTGGTCATGCCCGGAGCAAGTGTTGTTGCAGCAGAAGCTGGAGTGGTAAGACCTGGGGCAGGTGTAGTCATTCCAGGGGCAAGAGTTGATTTAGCAGGAGCAGCAGTAGTTAGAGCTGGAGCTGCTGTGGTCATGCCCGGAGCAAGTGTTGTTGCAGCAGAAGCTTGAGTGCTAAGACCTGGGGCAGTTGTTGTTATTCCAGGGGCAACAGTTGATTTAGCAGGAGCAGGAGTAGTTAGACCTGGAGCTGCGGTGGTCATGCCCGGAGCAAGTGTTGTTGCAGCAGAAGCTGGAGTGGTAAGACCTGGGGCAGTTGTTGTTATTCCAGGGGCAACAGTTGATTTAGCAGGAGCAGCAGTAGTTAGACCTGGAGCTGCGGTGGTCATGCCCGGAGCAAGTGTTGTTGCAGCAGAAGCTGGAGTGGTAAGACCTGGGGCAGTTGTTGTTATTCAGGGCAACAGTTGATTTAGCAGGAGCAGCAGTAGTTAGACCTGGAGCTGCGGTGGTCATGCCCGGAGCAAGTGTTGTTGCAGCAGAAGCTGGAGTGGTAAGACCTGGGGCAGTTGTTGTTATTCAGGGGCAAGAGTTGATTTAGTAGAACCAGCAGTAGTTAGAGCTGGAGCTGCTGTGGTCATGCCAGGAGCAAGTGTTGTTGCAGCAGAAGCTGGAGTGGTAAGACCTGGGGCAGTTGTTGTTATTCCAGGGGCAAGAGTTGATTTAGCAGGAGCAGCAGTAGTTAGAGCTGGAGCTGCTGTGGTCATGCCAGAGCAAGTGTTGTTGCAGCAGAAGCTGGAGTGGTAAGACCTGGGGCAGGTGTAGTTATTCCAGGGGCAAGAGTTGATTTAGCAGGAGCAGCAGTAGTGAGGCTGGAGCTGCGGTGGTCATGCCAGGCAAGTGTTGTTGCAGCAGAAGCTGGAGTGGTAAGACCTGGGGCAGTTGTTTTTTTTTCCAGGGGCAACAGTTGATTTAGAAGGAGCAGCAGTAGTTAGAGCAGGAGCTGCTGTGGTTATGCCCGAGCAAGTGTTGTTGCAGCAGAAGCTTGAGAGCTAAGACCTGGGGCAGGTGTAGTTATTCCAGGGGCAAGAGTTGATTTGGCAGGAGCAGCAGTAGTGAGAGCTGGAGCTGCGGTGGTCATGCCCGGAGCAAGTGTTGTTGCAGCAGAAGCTGGAGTGGTAAGACCTGGGGCAGGTGTAGTCATTCAGGGGCAAGAGTTGATTTAGCAGGAGCAGCAGTAGTTAGGCTGGAGCTGCTGTGGTCATGCCAGGAGCAAGTGTTGTTGCAGCAGAAGCTGGAGTGGTAAGACCTGGGGCAGTTGTTGTTATTCCAGGGGGCAAGACGATTTACCAGGAGCAGCAGTAGTTAGAGCTGGAGCTGCTGTGGTCATGCCAGAGCAGAGTGTTGTTGCAGCAGAAGCTGGAGTGGTAAGACCTGGAGCAGTTGTTGTTATTGCAGGGGCAAGAGTTGATTTAGCAGGAGCAGTAGTAGTTAGAGCTGGAGCTGCGGTGGTCATGCCAGGAGCAGGGGTTGTTGCAGCAGGCGCTGTGGTGGTAAGACCTGGAGCAGGTGTAGTTATTCAGGGGCAAGAGTTGATTTAGCAGGAGCAGCAGTAGTTAGAGCTGGAGCTGCAGTGGTCATGCCTGGAGCAAGTGTTGTTGCAGCAGAAGCTGGAGTGGTAAGACCAGGGGCAATTGTTGTTATTTCAGGGGCAAGAGTTGATTTAGCAGGAGCAGCAGTAGTTAGAGCTGGAGCTGCTGTGGTCATGCCCGGAGCAAGTGTTGTTGCAGCAGAAGCTGGAGTGGTAAGACCTGGGGCAGTTGTTGTTATTCCAGGGGCAAGAGTTGATTTACCAGGAGCAGCAGTAGTTAGAGCTGGAGCTGCTGTGGTCATGCCCGGAGCAAGTGTTGTTGCAGCAGAAGCTGGAGTGGTAAGACCTGGAGCAGTTGTTGTTATTGCAGGGGCAAGAGTTGATTTAGCAGGAGCAGTAGTAGTTAGAGCTGGAGCTGCGGTGGTCATGCCAGGAGCAGGGGTTGTTGCAGCAGGCGCTGTAGTGGTAAGACCTGGAGCAGGTGTAGTTATTCCAGGGGCAAGAGTTGATTTAGCAGGAGCAGCAGTAGTTAGAGCTGGAGCTGCGGTGGTCATGCCCGGAGCAAGTGTTGTTGCAGCAGAAGCTGGAGTGGTAAGACCTGGAGCAGGTGTAGTTATTCCAGGGGCAAGAGTTGATTTAGCAGGTACAGCAGTAGTTACAGCTGGAGCTGCTGTGGTCATGCCCGGAGCAAGTGTTCTTGCAGCTGCAGCTGGAGTAGTAAGACCTGCAGCAGGTGTTGTTAATCCAGGGGCAAGTGTTGATTTAGCAAGAGCAGCAGTAGTTACAACTGGAGCTCCTGTGGTCATGCCGGGAGAAAGTGTTGTCGCAGCAGAAGCTGGAGTAGTAAGACCTGGAGCAGGAGTTGTTATTGCAGGGGCAAGAGTTGATTTAGCAGGAGCAGCAGTAGTTACAGCTGGAGCTGCGGTGGTCATGCCCTGAACAAGTGTTGTTGCAGCAGAAGCTGGAGTGGTAAGACCTGGGGCAGTTGTTGTTATTCCAGGGGCAAGAGTTGATTTAGCAGGAGCAGCAGTAGTTAGAGCTGGAGCTGCGGAGGTCATGCCCGGAGCAAGTGTTGTTGCAGCAGGCGCTGTAGTGGTAAGACCTGGAGCAGGTGTAGTTATTCCAGGAGCAACTGTAGTTAGAGCTGGAGCTCCTGTGGTCATGCCCGGAACAAGTGTTGTTGCAGCAGAAGCTTGAGTGGTAAGACCTGGAGCAAGTGTTGTTAATGCAGGGCCAATTGTTGTTATACCTGAAAAATATGTCGATTATTGTTGACCTAACTTTAATCACACCATCATTGAAAAAGAAAAAGGAAATTGAAATAAACATTTGGTAGAAAAGATATTGGAAAAATTCGACTAAACTGATGTTAAAAACATTCGTCAGGTAGAAAAGAATGATAAATTTGTATGACAATGAACAATGAAATACCGAAAAGTACATGCAAAAAAGTATGGGCGACAGAATATGGAAGTTTCAGAAAACGCAGATAACTATTCCTACATAGTTCGATACAGAGGTCCAGAGCAATGCCAGCTAGTGAAAAAGTATATAACAATGAGGAAAGAAATAAAAAATTAAAGTAGAATCATTACAAAACTGTAAGATGTAAAAGATGCATTAGAAAAGTAATAATTTAGTTACTTACGTGCTAGTGTTCCATAAGTTATTTCTTTTACTGCAGTAATCGCAGGAGTAACGGTGGTAGTGTATGCAGGAGTAATTGTTGTTAAAGCAGGTGTGAAAGTCTTTGTTGTTGTCAAGGCGGGAGTGGCAGTTGTTGCTCCGGCTATTATGAAAAAATTGTGTGTTTGACCGATGAAATGTTATTAATGAGTAAAAAGACAATTCAAATGTGTAATTACATGACAGTTTTAATAGAATTTGTGTCCATCAAAAGAAAATATATCGATTTAATTATAAGAAACTCAAAATTTTACATTAAATTTCAAAAGATGATGTGAGGATTTTCCAAAGAACGTCTTCAGATTTATACAGCATCTAATTATGAAAGACAGTACGATTTAAACATGGCAAATGAAATAACATCTATTTAACACTCACTTGTTGGTTTAATACAGATTTTTGTAGATATTTTTACTTTCACTGGTACTGTAGGATACTCAGGAACAATTGTAATTTGCAGCACAGTTTTATCTGTTCCAGGCGGAATGGTGACAGGCTTGTCAGGTGATGATGTAACTTTAGGTAGTGTGAGTGATACACCTCCTGCTGGCGATGTTTTTATCCCGGATATTGCCTTTCAAATATCAAACATAGTATTAAAGCCCTGTATGCTTACACAAGATCTTTAATTAGCTTACGTGTCAATCATACTATAATTAGTCTTTTAAATTATATATATTTATATTTTGAACAATGGAAATTTAATCATTTGGAATTCAGCTGACATAATTGTTCCTCTGCTATATTGTCAGCGTGAATCAGTGTTTCGTCTTGAATAATGTAGGTTCCTATTTGCCACTCCTGGTCCAGTGAAGAAGAAATCAATCGAATTGATATTTATCTGATTGAAATATTGAAAACACACAAACTTTTTCAAGGCATACAACCATCGTTTGCTGTCGAAAGTGCAAAATATCTGCTTTTATAGGATTATCTACTTGTGTTGCATCAATGGAATAGGAACATATGTGCTTCATTTTGGTGAAGTCATTATTCACTACATGGGTGTTTTCTCATAGGTACATAGATTTGTTAAATAGCATTGATTCAGACTAATATGGTACCTGTGAGTTTGCTTTTAAATGTGTAATTGCACTTTGTATGTGTCTATTATTTGAAAAGTTTCAGCTGATGTAATAGGTGAAAGTAATTTCTTGTGTAGTGTTCTGTTAAGTAAGAGCCTATACTTGTAAAATATAGTGTTTAGTAATTTTGACAGCAACTTACCCGTAGAGTTAGGCAGAATCTAGCGTACTAGTGTTATGCTATGTGTTAAATATATGCATTAATTGTTTACCTTATTGAAAACACACAGACATATATCAAGTCAGATAGCTACCGTTTGCAAAATATCTGATTTTATAGGAGTATCTGCTTGTGTTGCGTCAAAGAAATACGAACACTTGTGCATCATTTTAGTGAAGTCATTATTTACTACATGGGCATTTTCACATAAGTACAGGGATTTGTTAAGTAGCTTTGATTTAACCGAATATGATGCATGTGAGATTGCTCTCAAATACAATTCCATGTGTAATTTCTCTTTGTATGTGTCTATTATTTGAAAGGTTTCAACTGATGCGATAGAAGAAAGAAATTTCACGTGTATTGTTCAGTGAAGCCTGTTCTCATTATATACAGCATTTAACAGTTTTGGTAGCTACTAACCTGTCAAGTTAGGCAGAATATAGCGTACTAGTATTATGTCATGTGTTAAATATATGCATTAATATGATAATTTACCTGTGGTGTTTTGATCAGCTCAACTACATATTCTTTGATGTTCTTTGGATTGAGTAGCTTAACTACGCCACCTGCTCCGAGAATTTCTCCCACTGTAATTGTGGCCACTCTGTCTTCTGGTGTTGTCGTTATCCATCCAGGACCAGTGGGTCTGATATCTCCTGGATTTCCAGATGGATTCGGTTCCAGTTTGATGTTACTGTCTGGCACTGGTATACCATCTTCCATTTCATCTATAAATGGGCATGTCACTACCAAGGAAAAATTTACATATGTAATTTAAATGACAACATCTTTTATCACAACCAAATACACTTTGGCTCAATCCAAATTTAATTTGTGTTATTAACAGAATTTATTTTTGTTTTAGTTCCGAAATTTGCGTATTTCTATTTTTATAGATAGAAATTGACATGAACCACAATGCGCTTTAATGGAAAATATTTAAATATGTGATTGTAACATGTTAATTCTGAAATCTTTCGGTTAAGAAAGAAAATTGCAATCTGCACACCATCATCTTGGGAAATGGTTAATTTCATACTTTACTCTGTCATGAAAGATTCTATCTTATAATTAGTAAATATGTCGAAAATAATAAAATTATTGTGAGTGATACATTTGAAGAATAATTAAATGTCTTATTTCATCCGCCTTACAATTAAACATATTTTGGAAGGAATGCACGGTTGTTTGCTTTGCTATTCCTACGTTAATACTGTTTCATTATATTTGCATAATTACGTAAATATCTTTTATGATCTTTTTCAGTAATAATTCATGTGAATACAAATGTTGTAATAATGTTATCCACAGTGTGTGTAGTCGTGTCCCATTATTTCTGCCTATTTTACTGGTATAAAAATACATCATCTCCTTCAGAAGTAGGTATATTTGCAATGTCCACAGGAAGTGAAATCTTTACTGTCTATACATGACAATGATGATCTTTTTGTTTGCAGTCTGGATGACCAAAGGTAAACAAAAATCAAATTCTCTTAACTGTATTTCTTATGCGATAATAATAATAATAATAAAAATAATAATGAGAAGAGTAACAAGAAGTGGAGGAAGAAGAACAACAACCAGGGGAAAGGGAAGGAAGTTTTAAATCACCTATTCTACATCACAAAAACTTTGCCAAATCGACAATGAGTTGAAAGTTCTCCTCAATAGTGTAAAATATTTCAGTGATGACAACGGTATGTATTTCGGATAAGATTAAATGTGCAAATGTAACCTTCAAGAAAGGGAGAATTGCAGAAACACACTCAATAAATTTAGATTTTGTTACAAAGATTAGGGAACTGGAACAAGAAGAAGCCTATAAGATCGTAGGTGTCAGCGAAGTAGATAAAATACAGCCTACTCAAATGAAGGAGAACGTAAGAAAGCAATACGACAGGTGCCTGCGTCAGGTATTAAATACTGAGTTGAATTCACAAAACAGAATGCCAGCCATAAACTCTTTGGCTGTCCGTGTGCTGCATTACTCTTTCAACATCCTTAATTTGACCATAGCTGATATTGATGAATGCCAACAGGAGAAAGCTTCATGCTTGGCACCTCTAGCATCATTTTAAGACTGATGTTGATCGCCTGTATGTGTCCAGATTTGGAGAAGGTAGATTATTAGCTCAACTAGAATTGTCTTGAAAAAACAGAGACCTGGAAATTACAGAAGACTGTATAATGATCTATGTCAAAGAATATGCAAGAGATAAGAAACTTTAATCAGTAATAAAAGAAGCCAAATAACTCAAAATGGAAATTAAAGTGGGTGAAGAAGTGCAAGTAAACTATAATACACATACTACATCGGTAAAGAGCAATAAAAGAAAGCAAAGTGAAATGCAATCGATCAAATGCAGAAAGGATGAGTAGATAAGCCACTTCATGGTCAATACTCTGCCCCTTGCCAAACAAGCTGATATAGACAAACCCCGTACTAATCAGTGGTTACAAGATGAAACCGAAAGTTTTATTCTTTCTGCACATGAACAATGCTTGCTAACTAAAAATTACCAAGAACACATAAAGAGAAACTATGCTAACCGGAAATCCATATTCTGCGATAGATATCCAGAAACAATTGACTATTTTGTATCAGGTTGTACGGTATTAGCATTCACTGGATATAAAACTCGGCATGACAGTATGGGTCGATATCTTCACTGGAAAATCTGCAACTTTTACGGAAATGAAAATGCAAGAAACTGGTATGAACACCATTCAGACCCGGTTAAAGGTATAGAAACTGTAACAATTTATCGGATTTTAAAATACACACAGATAGAACAATTAAAGCTCGGCCAAAAATCTTGAGCAAAGACCAGAAAAACAGAATGTGTTTTCTTATTGACATGACACTCCCTGCAATCTGTAATGTCTCTTTGAAGATTTTGCAAACATATCAAAATACAAGTATTTTGAAGGAGGAATCTAAAAAATGAAATCACATGAGGACATTAATAATTCAAGTTGTAATTCGAGTCCCCCTCAGTTTGATTGGAAAAATTGCGATAGACTTATTGAAGGGATTGCTGGTAGCCATGTCTTAATGAAATACAAATAATTGTACTTATAAGTAGAGCTCATGCCTTACGAAGGGCTTTATCTATGTAAAATGTGGGTGCTCTAAGGTTGCCACATTTTTTTATTTTTTTTATTCAGTGAAAGTGTCATGATACCATTTTTGTACTTAGGTCCATGGTTGGAACCCGGAAGGCAATGAGTATACAACAGAAATCAAAAGAAATCATGAAACATTAATAATAATAATAATAATAATAATAATAATAATAATAATGTTTGTGTTTAAATTGTGACAAATTTAATGTATATTTTCATTTGAAATATTTAAATTGACATTTTGACGTCAATACGAGAGCCGATGCAGAGACAGCAACGAAAAATGTTGTGGCGCAATGTTATGACAGTAGAAACGTGATCTGTGAGTGGTACGTGTGGGGTGAGGGAATGAGTGTTTCTTCTACGCTTCATTCAGTGACTGAAATTGAACTGCGCCTGTGGAACTAGGGAACTTTAAGTGTGAGTTATTTTATAAGACCTTTGTTGTGTGTAATCACTAGCTATTCCGACCATATTTGTCATAATAGCTAGGAAGGTACACATGAGTGGTGATATGATTAATCCGCTTAATTGGGAGGCAGATATAAATGTAATTATGGAGTTGAAGAAAGAGAGGCTAGTTGCCAAATTACAAAACATTTCTTGGAAGGCTTCATACAGTTTTTCCTTGAAGCAGACATTTATAGATCTCTATAAATGAACAATCAAGTTCAATTAGACGTTGAGTTGATAAAATCTAAGGTTAAGAGATGCATTCACAGAAGTACTGAGGAATTTGTAGAAGGTGAAATGAACGGCAAGCATTATATATGTATTCCAATAGTACCAGAAGACTGGCAGGTTTAGTTGGATTTCTGAGAGACATGCTGGAAAGAATAGTGAAACTGGTGTTTGCGAATGACTTCCCTGATGATGTATTGGGAGTGTTACTTCCGCTGTTCTATATTGAATACCTAATGATAATTAATAAATTATGGCTGCCAGATTGTTAAACGTCGACAGGGCACAGGCGCTTAGGACAGCAGCAGTTGAAGGCCATAGTTTGAGTGTTAGTGAGAAAGAGGTGATAGAGGACAAATAGTGAAAACGTGTGTTCACTGCTACATATGTCGATGTGCATATAAAATCAAGAAATGTCCTGAACTAGAGAAACCCAACCTAATTTCAAACCAAAGCTTTGACGAAAAGAACAGGTTTGGGTTAGTTTGAAATCAGTTGGCGTGGAATGCTGATATTGATAGATTACTTTTTTAAGATTTGATATAAGACCGTAAAACGCACGAAAAACTAGTTGTGTGGCGGCGGCAAAAAAGTCAAGGCCTCTAATGTTGTTTGAGTCTTTCTCTCCAAGATTCCTTTGTGTGCTAATGAGACAAGACATCATGCGGAGGGGATACGTAGCTGTCGACATGTTGAAGTTCGTTCCATCTTCCTCAATTTTTCTACAAGAACCGATACTTAATCAATACAACACCCGAGAAAATAAAATAAAGCTAGTAATATGTATACTGAATAAAATTCAGCCAGTGACGGCCAAGCTGAAGACAGCAGTGGTGCGGTTGATGTCAAGAGTACAAGGACGGACAAAAGCATTAGCAAGGCAGTTAAAAATGATATAAATGCATCATAATGTAAAATAAAATATGTAAAAAACGTGCAACAAAGTATGGGTGACAGATTATGAAGGTTTCAGATAACGCCGATGATTATTCCGACATAGTTCTAGAGAATTATATTTACAGAGGTCCACAGCAATGCCAGCCAGCGAAAAAGTATATAACAACGAGGAAGGGATTAAAAAAGAGCGGGATATTTACTGTGGCAAAAAGAAAGAAAATCAAAATAGAATCATTACAAAACTGTAAGATGTAAAAGATGCATTAGAAAAGTAATAATTTAGTTAATTACGTGCTAGTGTTCCATAAGTTATTTCTTTTACTGCAGTAATCGCAGGAGTAACGGTGGTAGTGTATGCAGGAGTAATAGTTGTTAAAGCAGGTGTGAAAGTCTTTGCTGTTGTCAAGGCGGGAGTGGCAGTTGTTGCTCCGGCTATAATGAAAAGAATTGGGCGGTTTGTCTGATGGAATGATAGTAATGAGTAAAAAGTCAATTCAAACATGTAATTACAGGAGTGTTTTAAAGTAAATTGTGAAATTGTGGGCACCAGAACAAAATATATCGTCGTCGATTTAATATTAACAATCGCAAAAGGTTACAATGAAATTCAAACGATGATGTGACGTTTTACAAGGATCAGTATGTTCGTCGCCATTGAAAAGTCATTAAGATTTCAGAATTATACTCATACAGCAGTTAATTATGAAACACAATATGAATTAAAAGATTGTAAGAGAAAGAATGACTATTTAACACTCACTTGTGGATTTAATACAGATTTTGGTAGATATTTTCACTTTCACGGGTACTGTAGGATACTCAGGAACAATTGTAATTTTCAGCACAGTTTTATCTGTTCCAGGTGGAATGGTGACAGGCTTGTCAGGTGATGATGTAACTTTAGGTAGTGTGGGTGGTACACCTCCTGCGGGTGTAGTTGCTGCGCCGGCTGCAATTCTAGCTGGTGTACTTCCTGCAACGGGAGCAAATTTTCCTGGCGTAGATGCAGCACCAGGTACACCCACAGCTGGCGTAGTGGTAAAATAGCTAGTACCTCCAGCTGGCACGGATGTTGTTGTCTATGAATAGCATAAAACACAGCAAGAGAAACTTGAATGTCATTGAACTCCGAATATAAAAAACAAAAAACTATGCATCGTTTACATGTAGAATATTCAATAATATATCTTATATATGAAATATATTAATGGTTTGAACAATGTAAAATTACTCAGTTGGAGTGCAGCTAGCTTATAAGCGTTCATCTGCTGCATTGTAAGTATGAATGAATGTTTTGTGTAGCATAATGTAGATTTCAATTTGTCTTTTATGTGTCGGTGAAGAAAAACAAATGAATTAGTATTTAATTGTTTACATTATTAAAACACACAGACATATACCAAGGGAGATAGCTACCGTTTGCAAAATATCTGATTTTATAGGAGTATCTGCTTGTGTTGCGTCAAAGTAATACGAACACTCGAGCCTCATTTTAGGGAAGTCATTATTTGCTAAATGGGCATGTTCACACATGTACATGGATTTGTTAAGTAACTTTGATTTAACCGAATATGATGCATGTGAGTTTGCTCTCAAATACAATTCCATGTGTAATTGCTCTTTGTATGTGTCTATTATTTGAAAGGTTTCAACTGATGCAATGGAAGAAAGCAATTTCTCGTGTATTGTTCAGTTAAAGAAAAGCCTTGTCTTATAATATATAGCATTTAACAGTTTTGGTAGCTACTAACCCGTCAAGTTAGGCAGAATCTAGCGTAGTGGTTTCTGTGTTAAGGGTTAAATATATGCATTAATATGATAATTTACCTGTGGTGGTTTGATCAGCTCAACTACATACTCTTTGACGTTCTTTGGATTGAGTAGCTGAACTACACCACCAGCCTCGAGACTTTCTCCCACTGTAATTGTGGCAACTCTGTCTTCTGGTGTTGTCGTTATCCATCCAGGACCAGTGGGTCTGATATCTCCTGGATTTCAGATGGATTCGGTTCTAGAGTGATTGCACTGTCCGGTAATGCTGTCTCATCTTCCATTTCATCCACAAGTGGGCAAGTTGCTATCAAGGTAAATTATTGAATTTTAATTTCACAACGGTCAACTTAGAACAGATTAATAAAGTTTGTCTAAGTCTATTTATATTTTGCCTTAATAAAGAAAAAATGTTGAAATCATGGAACATTCCATATGATGAAAGAAATATACAGAGAAATGGAAACGTTATCCTAAGACGCCAAGCCTTTGGCAGTGATATGTGTTGGAGGAATATATATAAAGAAAATTCAAAATTTACATTTCAAATTGCAACTTGCACATAATGATGTCAGATATTTTCTGACTTTTACCGATTATGTTGTTTCGTGAAAAAAAAATAGTTGTCAGAAAAGTGTTAGGTAAAGTGCAAATTTAAGAAATCATTGCTATGTATGCAGGTAAAGAATAATTATATGGAATGAGTCATCTGCTTCGTTTGTCATGACAATATAGATAAGGTGAAATCAGTAATTACGTGGTTGTGTGCCAAATGTTACTTCTTTTACTGCAGTAATCGCAGGAGTAACGGTGGTAGTGTATGCAGGAGTAATAGTTGTTAAAGCAGGTGTGAAAGTCTTTGCTGTTGTCACGGCGGGAGTGGCAGTTGTTGCTCCGGCTATAATGAAAAAATTGTGTGTTTGACCGATGAAATGTTATTAATGAGGAAAAAGACAATTCAAATGTGTAATTACATGACAGTTTTAATAGAATTTGTGTCCATCAAAACAAAATATATCGTCGTTTTATTATAAGAAACTCAAAATTTTACATTAAATTTCAAAATGATGATGTTTTAGGATTTTGTTCGTCGCCATTGAAAAGTCTTCAGATTTATACAGCATCTAATTTATGAAAGACAATATGATTTAAACATGGCAAATGAAATAACATCTATTTAACACTCACTTGTTGGTTTAATACAGATTTTGTAGATATTTTTTACTTTCACTGGTACTGTAGGATACTCAGGAACAATTGTAATTTTCAGCACAGTTTTATCTGTTCCAGGCGGAATGGTGACAGGCTTGTCAGGGTGATGATGTAACTTTAGGTAGTGTGGGTGATACACCTCCTGCTGGCGATGTTTTTATCCCGGATATTGCCTTTCAAATATCAAACATAGTATTAAAGCCCTGTATGCTTACACAAGATCTTTAATTAGCTTACGTGTCAATCATACTATAATTAGTCTTTTAAATTATATATATTTATATTTTTTGAACAATGGTAATTTAATCATTTGGAATTCAGCTGACATAATTGTTCCTCTGCTATATTGTCAGCGTGAATCAGTGTTTCGTCTTGAATAATGTAGGTTCCTATTTGCCACTCCTGGTCAGTGAAGAAGAAATCAATCGAATTGATATTTATCTGATTGAAATATTGAAAACACACAAACTTTTTCAAGGCATACAACCATCGTTTGCTGTCGAAAAAAATATCTGCTTTTATAGGATTATCTACTTGTGTTGCATCAATGGAATAGGAACATATATATATATGTCATTTTGGTGAAGTCATTATTCACTATGGGTGTTTTCTCATAGGTACATAGATTTGTTAAATAGCATTGATTCAGACTAATATGGTACCTGTGAGTTTGCTTTAAAATGCGTAATTGCATTTGCTGTGTCTATTATTTGAAAAGTTTCAGCTGAAATGGTGAAAGTAATTTCTTGTGTAGTGTTCTGTTAAGTAGATTATACTTGTAAAATATAGTGTTTAGTAATTTTGACAGAACTTACCCGTAGAAAAATCAAAGTGTTATGCTATGTGTTAAATATATGCATTAATTGTTTACCTTATTGAAAACACACAGACATATATCAAGTCAGATAGCTACCGTTTGCAAAATATCTGATTTTATAGGAGTATCTGCTTGTGTTGCGTCAAAGAAATACGAACACTTGTGCATCATTTTAGTGAAGTCATTATTTACTACATGGGCATTTTCACATAAGTACAGGGATTTGTTAAGTAGCTTTGATTTAACCGAATATGATGCATGTGAGATTGCTCTCAAATACAATTCCATGTGTAATTTCTCTTTGTATGTGTCTATTATTTGAAAGGTTTCAACTGATGCGATAGAAGAAAGAAATTTCACGTGTATTGTTCAGTTAAAGAAAAGCCTTGTTCTCATTATATACAGCATTTAACAGTTTTGGTAGCTACTAACCTGTCAAGTTAGGCAGAATATAGCGTACTAGTTTTATGTCATGTGTTAAATATATGCATTAATATGATAATTTACCTGTGGTGTTTTGATCAGCTCAACTACATATTCTTTGATGTTCTTTGGATTGAGTAACCTGAACTACACCACCTGCTCGAGAATTTCTCCCACTGTAATTGTGGCCACTCTGTCTTCTGGTGTTGTCGTTATCCATCCAGGACCAGTGGGTCTGATATCTCCTGGATTTCAGATGGATTCGGTTCCAGTTTGATGTTACTGTCTGGCACTGGTATACCATCTTCCATTTCATCTATAAATGGGCATGTCACTACCAAGGAAAAATTTTATATGTAATTTAAATGACAACATCTTTTATCACAACCAAATACACTTTGGCTCAATCCAAATTTAATTTGTGTTATTAACAGAATTTATTTTGTTTTAGTTCCGAAATTTGCGTATTTCTATTTTTATAGATAGAAATTGACATGAACCACAATGCGCTTTAATGGAAAATATTTAAATATGTGATTGTAACATGTTAATTCTGAAATCTTTCGGTTAAGAAAGAAAATTGCAATCTGCACACCATCATCTTGGGAAATGGTTAATTTCATACTTTACTCTGTCATGAAAGATTCTATCTTATAATTAGTAAATATGTCGAAACAATAAAATTATTGTGAGTGATACATTTGAAGAATAATTAAATGTCTTATTTCATCCGCCTTACAATTAAACATATTTTGGAAGGAATGCACGGTTGTTTGCTTTGCTATTCCTACGTTAATACTGTTTCATTATATTTGCATAATTACGTAAATATCTTTTATGATCTTTTTCAGTAATAATTCATGTGAATACAAATGTTGTAATAATGTTATCCACAGTGTGTGTAGTCGTGTCCCATTATTTCTGCCTATTTTACTGGTATAAAAATACATCATCTCCTTCAGAAGTAGGTATATTTGCAATGTCCACAGGAAGTGGTGTCTTTACTGTCTATACATGACAATGATGATCTTTTTTTTTTGCAGTCTGGATGACCAAAAGGTAAACAAAAATCAAATTCTTTAACTGTATTTCTTATGCGATAATAATAATAATAATAAAAATAATAATGAGAAGAGTAACAAGAAGTGGAGGAAGAAGAACAACAACCAGGGGAAAGGGAAGGAAGTTTTAAAACCTATTCTACATCACAAAAAACTTTGCCAAATCGACAATGAGTTGAAAGTTCTCCTCAATAGTGTAAAAAATATTTCAGTGATGACAACGGTATGTATTTCGGATAAGAATAAATGTGCAAATGTAACCTTCAAGAAAGGGAATTGCAGAAACACACTCAATAAATTTAGATTTTGTTTACAAAGATTAAAAACTGGAACAAGAAGAAGCCTATAAGATCGTAGGTGTTAGCTGAAGTAGATAAAATACAGCCTACTCAAATGAAGGAGAACGTAAGAAAGCAATACGACAGGTGCCTGCGTCAGGTATTAAATACTGAGTTGAATTCACAAAACAGAATGCCAGCCATAAACTCTTTGGCTGTCCAAAATATGTAGAATTACTCTTTCAACATCCTTAATTTGACCATAGCTGATATTGATGAATGCCAACAGGAGAAAGCTTTGCTTGGCACCTCTAGCATCATTTAAGACTGATGTTGATCGCCTGTATGTGTCCAGATTTGGAGAAGGTAGATTATTAGCTCAACTAGAATTGTCTTGAAAAACAGAGACCTGGAAATTACAGAAGACTGTATAATGATCTATGTCAAAGAATATGCAAGAGATAAGAAACTTTAATCAGTAATAAAGAAGCCAAATAACTCAAAATGGAAATTAAAGTGGGTGAAGAAGTGCAAGAAACTATAATACACATACTACATCGGTAAAGAGTAAAAAAGAAAGCAAAGTGAAATGCAATCGATCAAATGCAGAAAGGATGAGTAGATAAGCCACTTCATGGTCAATACTCTGCCCCTTGCCAAACAAGCTGATATAGACAAACCCCGTACTAATCAGTGGTTACAAGATGAAACTGAAAGTTTTATTCTTTCTGCACATGAACAATGCTTGCTAACTAAAAATTACCAAGAACACATAAAGAGAAACTATGCTAACCGGAAATCCATATTCTGCGATAGATATCCAAGAAACAATTGACTATTTTGTATCAGGTTGTACGGTATTAGCATTCACTGGATATAAAACTCGGCATGACAGTATGGGTCGATATCTTCACTGGAAAATCTGCAACTTTTACGGAAATGAAAATGCAAGAAACTGGTATGAACACCATTCAGACCCGTTAAAAGGTATAGAAACTGTAACAATTTATCGGATTTTAAAATACACACAGATAGAACAATTAAAAATTTCGGCCAAAAATCTTGAGCAAAGACCAGAAAAACAGAATGTGTTTTCTTATTGACATGACACTCCCTGCAATCTGTAATGTCTCTTTGAAGATTTTGCAAACATATCAAAATACAAAGTATTTTGAAGGAGGAATCTAAAAATGAAATCACATGAGGACATTAATAATTCAAGTTGTAATTCGAGTCCCCCCTCAGTTTGATTGGAAAAATTGCGATAGACTTATTGAAGGGATTGCTGGTAGCCATGTCTTAATGAAATACAAATAATTGTACTTATATAAGTAGAAATTCATGCCTTACGAAGGGCTTTATCTATGTCAAATGTAATGCTCTAAGGTTGCCACATTTTTTATTTTTTTATTCAGTGAAAGTGTCATGATACCATTTTTGTACTTAGGTCCATGGTTGGAACCCGGAAGGCAATGAGTATACAACAGAAATCAAAAAGAAATCATGAAACATTAATAATAATAATAATAATAATAATAATAATAATAATGTTTGTGTTTAAATTGTCAAATTTAATGTATATTTTCATTTGAAATATTTAAATTGACATTTTGACGTCAATACGAGCCGATGCAGACAGCAACGAAAAAATGTTGTGGCGCAATGTTATGACAGTAGAAACGTGATCTGTGAGTGGTACGTGTGGGGTGAGGGAATGAGTGTTTCTTCTACGCTTCATTCAGTGACTGAAATTGAACTGCGCCTGTGGAACTAGGGAACTTTAAGTGTGAGTTATTTTATAAGACCTTTGTTGTGTGTAATCACTAGCTATTCCGACCATATTTGTCATAATAGCTAGGAAGGTACACATGAGTGGTGATATGATTAATCCGCTTAATTGGGGAGGCAGATATAAATGTAATTATGGAGTTGAAGAAAGAGAGGCTAGTTGCCAAATTACAAAACATTTCTTGGTTTCATACAGTTTTTCCTTGAAGCAGACATTTATAGATCTCTATAAATGAACAATCAAGTTCAATTAGACGTTGAGTTGATAAAATCTAAGGTTAAGAGATGCATTCACAGAAGTACTGAGGAATTTGTAGAAGGTGAAATGAACGGCAAGCATTATATATGTATTTGATAGTATTCTGGCAGGTTTAGTTAGTTTCTGAGAAACATGCTGGAAGAATAGTGAAACTGGTGTTTGCGAATGACTTCCCTGATTTTATTGGGAGTTCTCCGCTGTTCTATAAGAGTAATACCTAATGAATTAATAAATTATGGTGCCAGATTGTTAAACGTCGATCACATCCAGGACAGCAGAGTTAAGGGCCATAGTTTGCTGTTATGTGAGAAAGAGGTGATAGAGGACAAATAGTGAAAACGTGTTTCACTGCAATGGATGTCGATGTGCATATAAAATCAAGAAATGTCCTGAACTAGAAGAAAGCAACCTAATTTCAAAAAAAAGCCATTTTGACGAAAAGAACAGGTTTGGGTTAGTTTTGAAATCAACCCGTGGAATGCTGATATTGATAGATTACTTTTTAAGATTTGATATAAGACCGTAAACAGAGAATTGGAAAAACTAGTTTGTGGCGGCGGCAAAAAAAAGACCTTTAATGTTCTTTTGAGTCTTTTTCACCAAGATTCCTTTTGACTGTGCTAATGAGACAAGAATTCGGAAATCCATCCAGGACCATGGGTCTGATATTCCTTCCATCTTCCTCAATTTTTGCTCCAAGAACCGATAAATCAATACAACACCCGAGAAATAAAAGTGGGCTAGTAATATATATACTGAATAAAAATTTTAATTTCACAACAGCCAACTGAACAGCATTAATGCGGTTTGTCAAAGTTATTTACGGAAAAAGCATTAAAAAATAGTTAAAATTGATAAAATGCATCATAATGTAAAATAAAATATGTAAAAAACGTGCAACAAAAGTTTGGGTGACAGATTGATTTTCAGATAACGCCGATGATTATTCCGCACATAATTCTAGATAATTATATTTTTACCGATTATGTTGTCCAAAAAATGCCAGTTGTGAAAAGTTATAACAAAGGAAAATTAAAAATCATTACGGGATATTTGCAGGTGGCAAAAGAAAGAAAATCAAAATAGAATCATTGCAAAACTGTAAGATGTAAAAGATAGAAAAGGTGAAATCAGTAATTACGTGCTTGTGTTCCAAAAATTATTTTTTTTTACTGCAGTAATCGCAGGAGTAACGGTGGTAGTGTATGCAGGAGTAATAGTTGTTAAAGCAGGTGTGAAAGTCTTTGCTGTTGTCAAGGCGGGAGTGGCAGTTGTTGCTCCGGCTATAATGAAAAGAATTGGGCGGTTTGTCTGATGGAATGATAGTAATGAGTAAAAAGTCAATTCAAACATGTAATTACAGGAGTGTTTTAAAGTAAATTGTGAAATTGTGGGCACCAGAACAAAATATATCGTCGTCGATTTAATATTAACAATCGCAAAAGGTTACAATGAAATTCAAACGATGATGTGACGTTTTACAAGGATCAGTATGTTCGTCGCCATTGAAAAGTCATTAAGATTTCAGAATTATACTCATACAGCAGTTAATTATGAAACACAATATGAATTAAAAGATTGTAAGAGAAAGAATGACTATTTAACACTCACTTGTGGATTTAATACAGATTTTGGTAGATATTTTCACTTTCACGGGTACTGTAGGATACTCAGGAACAATTGTAATTTTCAGCACAGTTTTATCTGTTCCAGGTGGAATGGTGACAGGCTTGTCAGGTGATGATGTAACTTTAGGTAGTGTGGGTGGTACACCTCCTGCGGGTGTAGTTGCTGCGCCGGCTGCAATTCTAGCTGGTGTACTTCCTGCAACGGGAGCAAATTTTCCTGGGTAGATGCTGCACCAGGTACACCCACAGCTGGCGTAGTGGTAAAATAGCTAGTACCTCCAGCTGGCACGGATGTTGTTGTCTATGAATAGCATAAAACACAGCAAAGAGAAACTTGAATGTCATTGAACTCGAATATAAAAAAAAAAAACTATGCATCGTTTACATGTAGAATATTCAATAATATATCTTATATATATGAAATATATTAATGGTTTGAACAATGTAAAATTACTCAGTTGGAGTGCAGCTAGCTTATAAGCGTTCATCTGCTGCATTGTAAGTATGAATGAATGTTTTGTGTAGCATAATGTAGATTTCAATTTGTCTTTTATGTGTCGGTGAAGAGAAAAAACAAATGAATTAGTATTTAATTGTTTACATTATTAAAAAACACACAGACATATACCAAGGGAGATAGCTACCGTTTTGCAAAATATCTGATTTTATAGGAGTATCTGCCTGTGTTGCGTCAAAGTAATACGAACACTCGAGCCTCATTTTAGGGAAGTCATTATTTGCTAAATGGGCATGTTCACACATGTAGATGGATTTGTTAAGTAGCTTTGATTTAACCGAATATGATGCATGTGAGTTTGCTCTCAAATACAATTCCATGTGTAATTGCTCTTTGTATGTGTCTATTATTTGAAAGGTTTCAACTGATGCAATGGAAGAAAGCAATTTCTCGTGTATTGTTCAGTTAAAGAAAAATATGTCTTATAATATATAGCATTTAACAGTTTTGGTAGCTACTAACCCGTCAAGTTAGGCAGAATCTAGCGTAGTGGTTTCTGTGTTAAGGGTTAAATATATGCATTAATATGATAATTTACCTGTGGTGGTTTGATCAGCTCAACTACATACTCTTTGACGTTCTTTGGATTGAGTAGCTGAACCACACCACCAGCCTCGAGACTTTCTCCACTGTAATTGTGGCAACTCTGTCTTCTGGTGTTGTCGTTATCCATCCAGGACCAGTGGGTCTGATATCTCCTGGATTTCCAGATGGATTCGGTTCTAGAGTGATTGCACTGTCCGGTAATGCTGTCTCATCTTCC